CTTTTTTTTTTAATTGCGCATCCCATGATTCCCAAACTCACAACTTCGGTCAGTTTGGAGTACAACAAATGGGCTCCACAATTCCAACCCACCGCACAGCGACTGCGTGTGACCCTTGGATCCAAAGCGTCTGTGCCTGGAAGGAGTCAGCGCAGCCAATGGTGCAATCATAGGCGTTCGTCACGGCACAACAGGGGAATTGCGAGCTTTTCTTGGCCTCTTTCCCTGGTAACACTGGGGGTCATACTTCCTGACTATATAAAAACCTTCCCCGCCGCAATGTCTGGTACCAGTCTATAGTAGTACCCATCAGCTAAAGAGAAGAGAGAAAAAAAAAGGAAAAAGAGAACAGAAAACATATTTTTCTCAATTCACATCCCACTTCTTTCTCTTCTTCGCGTGAATTCATCTCGACGTTCTTCAATTGTACTTTGTACCGTTGCATTCCGGTCCATCGTTTACCACACAACTATATCCAGCGACCCGCTTGGAGATCTGCCGTCATTGAGTCATCGAGCCTAGATCGTTGTTTAGATACACCACACAGAGTCATACAGCAATCATGCCAGCTTCAGTGAATTACCGGGTCATTGAGCCCCATCCTTCCGTCTCGCGTCCAGCTCTCCATACAGCTCGCGGCGGCGCAGGCAACATCATCAGCCTGAAGAACACCAAGACCACCCCTTCACAGACGGCCACCGGTCCAGCATCCTTGACACGTCTGGACTCCCATGTTCCCGCCGTCTACAAGTCAGGCCGTGGTGGCGCAGGAAACGTCCACAGCAGCAGCGAGCGCGCCATCTTCAGCTTCGACGAGGAACTCGAACGGGATCTCCGTCGCGCCGCTCCAGTCTACCATGTCGGCCGCGGTGGTGCCGGAAACATGGTCTACAGCGACAATGGAAGCACCCTGAGCCGCAAGTTTTCTATCAGCAGCAATACCACGTCGAGTAGCACGGGGTCGACCACCTCCACCCGGGAGAAGGCCCTGCGCGGCTTAGAGAAGGGTTGGGGCAAGTTGAGGGGAATGGCATAGAGGCGTTTTGCAATATACATCCGCATACGGCTTGCCGTCCTTTGGTTCGAGCGTTCTCGCATTTCGCATTTCGAACATGAACATCACGACTTACGACCACCCTAAAAAAAAGTTTTCTGTTTTTCGTCTCTCGTCGATCTCCTCTTTCCAACTTCATTTGCGATTCTCGACAAACCCTACTTCAACATCCCCTTTTAATCTCGTCAATTCGCTTTTCTCTAGGAGAAAAGAACCGATTATCTGTTTTAACTTGCTGTTCGCTTGCGCCATTTCTCGACTCCCCATGTCGATATTGATACCCCCACCAATGCCAACCGGCACTTTACTTACTTGACTGCCTGTTCAGGGTCAATCAACCTTGTTTCAACACATCTTCACTCTTCATGTCTTCATATCTCTATATGTACGCCCGGTTCTGGAATCGGCAACTGGGCTTTCACGTCCTTTACCTTATATATACTATATTTCCAAACAGGAAACTGCTGCTTCAGTCCCTGAATCAATGAACAGGAACAAGAAAGTTCGAACGCGCATTATATCTCCTTGCTTTTCTCGATGTAGAGCTATATCTTGTAGACTGCATGTTTTAGACTTGTATCCCTGGTATGTGTACCCCTGAGCAGTCGAGGTACTATGACGATATACGATCCACCCCCTTACTGCGGGGCTAGAACCAGGTAGTAGGACTATGTATAGTCACTAATGCACTATGCACTCCTTCTGTCTTGGTATATCCTTGGATGTTTCTACTCTAAGAACACTTATATAATGTATGTAGCATAGAATAATTGTATATAGCTGTGTCTCATGACAGGTTTCTATACTCAAGATTCTATACTCGAGTCTGCATAATAGCTAATCTTAACCACCAACTCAATTCTGTCTTATTGCGCATCCGGTGTAGAATGCGGTCCGGGCAATTGGAGTCTAGTGCTATGTGCTGTGTTCAGGGGTAGGGGTTGAAGTAGGGTGGGGTTTTCCATTTGTTCTGTGCTTCCTTAAACTGGGTGATTATCGTCTATGGTTGATACTAGTAGTCTATTGTGAAGGTGGATATGCTCTTCTGTGGAGAGTTGAAGTTCTGTATTACTAGTTCCTCTTAGACGAGCTATCAGTGAGTCACCAAACCTAGACGTATCAATAGATTATGTACTAATGCGAGCAAGAGTGCAATTCATAAAGCTTCATTTATCTATTCCAATATTTACACAGCTTATTTCAGTTCAAACCACCTGCATGACAGGGGTCAGGCATAACAATTAGAGAAGGCGCAAGAGAAGAGAAACACAGGAGTCGATTCATCCGTGGTCATGATAGCCGGTGAGAAACGTGATGGATGATCGAGCAAGTCCGCTAGGACATGGGGTGTGTGTGTGAGTGTTGATGGGGGAGGAAATAGAGATGATATGAGAGTATGGCAGCATCTGCCATGAGTGTATCATATCGTAGGCGTGCTAAGGTGAGAAAAAAGAGGGGTATCAAAAGCTGCTGCTCATCTGCGGACAACAGCAGCTGACGGGTCTATCGAGGGTTCGTGACTTTCTCAATAATATCACTTAATGTATGTTTGGCTTTGGTCTGTCACTGTGTCGCTGTTCGCGAACGGTGGATGACTAGCGTCACTTATGTTGCCTTGCCTTCAAGCGGTTCAAGGCAGCATTAGGCGAATTTCCGGTGGATGATCTCCGGATCTTCGTGCCATTCATCGGCGCTGACCCACATCTAGAGATTCTTGTGTTAGTATGGGGGAAGGGTGATTGGAACTTATATGACTGGAAGTGACGGCGGACATACCTTGCGGAACGTGCTCAAACCAGCCAGGATTCCACCACCGATCCAGGTCGTGTATTTCCGCTCGGCCGGCGCAGAAATACGGATCTTCATGTCTTCCACAGCCAATCGCTTGATCTCGCGCATCAGCCGGTCCGGGAAGTTCTTGCATAGTGTCGAGCCTCCCGACAGGACAATGTTGAGGTATAGATCTTTGCGCAGGTCCAGGTCTGTGCGGGTAATCGCATCCTGGACGATCTGATGAACACCAGGGTACTCCAGGCCGATGAGCTCGGGGTCAAAAAGGATCTCAGGAGCACGGTAGCGTTCTTGACCAATCTAACACGGACGTAAAACCACCCGAAGCAATCGTAGACGTAGCGACAAACCTTGATCTTATGCCCATCAGGCAGTCTGTAGTCCACGGCCTTAGTCTCCGATTTATGATAACTGTTCATCCACTCCTTCTCTTCACGCTTCGGATCCAGCGACACATAGCACACCTCCTCCTTGATCTTCCGGACCACCTCCTTCTCAGCACTCGTATACAGCACATGTCCATTCTTCCGGAGCAACAACTGCAGCTGCTCCGTAACATCTCGCCCCGCGACATCGATCCGCCGTATACTGTTCGGGATCGCAAAACCCTCATACACCGGCACTGCATGGGAAACACCATCCCCTGAATCCAAGACCACACCGGTCGTGCGGCCGGACGCGTACAGCGACAGCACAGCCTGAATAGACGTATAAAGAGCCGGGACATTGAACGTCTCGAACATGATCTGGGCCGCCGTGTCGCGGTTCTTGCGGGGATTGAGCGGTGGCTCAGTCAGGAGGACCGGATGCTCTTCAGGCAGCGTTTTCAACTCGTTCTCGTAGACGTAATGCCAGATTTTCTCCATGTCGTCCCAGTCCGTGACAATGCCGTGTTCCAGCGGGTACCGAATCTTCAACAGGCCGCGCAGCTCCTGTGCTCTCGATCCGATGAAGACATCTCCTTCTAGACCGCCGGCCATCACCCGTGGGTGTTTTGGCCGACCGACGAAAGACGGGAAGAAACATGAGGGGACTTCCTCTCCTGCGAAACCGGCGCGAATTGTGCCGCTGCCATTGTCGATGACAATGGGGGCGTTATGGAGGGTGGCCTCGGCCATTGCGAGAGCGAGGGGTGTGGCTCGGGGGGTAAGTTGCGGACGGTTAAAGGGACGGTGTTTGGGTGAAGCGCGATTGTTATGAAAGGCCCCACGGCCGGGGAGGTTGTGCCACGTAGGTCCTAGAGTGGAGGAGTTGTTTCCGACAACCTGTAATTAGTTGGAGCCTTTGGTGTCGAGAAACTCGGGAGAAATTGAGGGAGAAAGGTGTGCACAAAGGGAGGTTGTTCCTGGCCGCAACTTTCGCGTACATCTGATGTTTCCCGTGCCGTCAACAACCTGAGGAGCTTGGGCCACATCGGACTACAACTATATCGGTCAATTGCTACCACGAAACTCTATGGATGATTCGTTCAATTTCTTGTTCTCGATACTAAGGTTATCTTTCCGATTGATTCTATGCTTGTGGAAAATGTACAGCTGACATTTGCGCAGCATATAAGACTTGTAGAGCAACATTCCTGCAGCTAACTGGCCTGCAAGTTCGGAGCAACACAAACGAAAAGCCCGAATTTTTAAGCCTGCTCGAGCCGATCGTACACTTCGTTTGAGGGCCCATAGGTACGACTATATAAGCTTCAACAACACCACCAGGAGTAGGTTCGGACACAATGCCCTCACGCAGAGGTACCCCGGCGAGGGAAATTTAATCCAAGAAGCCCAATTCATCCGACATCACTTGATCCAGCGTGCGATGACGTTTCTGATTTGCTCCATTGACAGGCGGCCAAGCCAGCATGCGAGCCCGTAGTGTCTCTGCGCGCCCTACAGCAGCAGACACCTCCCTGGAAAAAGAGATTAGCGCAATCAACGGGGGAATCCACAGGGTACCATACTGATGTCCGCTAGCAATGACATAACCTTGCTTCTGCAACTCACGGGCCAGTTCCACCTGGTGGTTGTCCTTCAAGGTTGTATTTGGAACAACCACAAGTGGCACTCCTAAACGTAGTGCGCCTAGGATACTGCCCGATCCTTCAATTGAGATCAGTTTCTCGCAATCTTATCTGTGGACGAGACCGCAATAATTACCTGCATGACTGATAATTAACCCCCCACTTCGACCTTCGTCAAGTCTCGGTTGAGCAAGCCTCATCTCCCCGTCTAGACCTGCATGATTGAAATCGAACCCGTCTATCTCAATACCGTGTCGACTTGGGCTCCCAGGGGGATATTTGCTGAGAAGCTCTTCAAAGAGAGCTTGGCTGTCCTTCCCGTATTGGACTAGGAGATGCGTATAATTGGCTTCATGCAAGGCAGCCAGAAATCTATGGTCCACTATGGCCTGCAGAAGTAAATGAAACGAAGCTGTGGCTCCCACCGTGACGAAGCATAGCTTCATAGGGCGGGCCTGGTCTTGTGATGCCATGAATGGTGCCTTTAGGTTTCAAGAACCTATCTCTGGCAAGAACAATTGCACAACACCCTGCCTGGGCCGGAGAAGCATATTAATCTTTCTCGATTGGGCCAGTTCAACGCTGGGCCGAGTATCGCATCTGTGCAACTGTATTGATGATGATGCTTGTAAGGCGGTGGATGGCCATCCCACCCGATTGGGCTTAGTGTCTCCGTGCGAACTTCCATCCGAAGAAAAACATCGCCGAGTCCTGTTCAAGAGCACCCCAGCCCAACGCCCCCTTCGCAATGGCCTCAGCAGCAAGATACCTGGGCCGGTCGGCCTTGTCCCTGGCCCGGAGAGGCCCAATTGCGATCCCGTACCGCTCATTCTCCGCCACCACGCCCAGTTTCGTGTCAGAAGACCCGCCAGTGCCGCCAGCTCCCCGAGAACCCCGTCCGGAGGATCTGCCTGCTATGGCGGAGTACTCCCCCGATCTACTGTCCAAGGAGGAGCGATCAATGTATGACATGCTGGCGCCCGAAGAACGGGAGCAGTTCGACGCCGAGAACCGCCGGATGGTGGAGGAGTTCAATGACCCGCAGAAGCGAGCGGCCGCGTTTGCGGAGCTCGAGAAGAGCGTGAACCAGATAGAAAAGGAATACCCCATGCGGTTCGACGACATGCGGGAGAAGCGGCTTGGACTCTGGGGTGATGAGGAAGACGATGAATTCGCTCTCGTTGAGGACGCTGACGAAGAGTTCAACGACGACGATATCACGTCGATGGCTCACGCGGAACTCGAAGTACACCGCGAGATCAGAGAATACGCTAGAATTGCTGCGTGGGATATGCCATTGCTGAGCAGTAAGTGCCTTGTCCGAGTCTGTTCCCCATCTCTGCTAATCCCTCGGTAGATCTTGCCAAGCCGTTCACCCTCCCTCCCCAATCTCACATTCTCCGCTTCCGCTACACCACATACATGGGCGAGTCGCACCCCGCCGAGAACAAGGTCGTCGTCGAGCTGAGCACCCAGGATTTAACCCCCAAGCATCTCTCCGAGGCACAGCGCCAGACGTTCCTGAAACTCGCTGGGCCGCGGTACAACCCCGACACCGACATTGTCCGGATGTCCTGCGAGAAGTTTACCACTCGTGCTCAGAACAAGCGTTATCTAGCCGATATTGTAAACTCATTGATTAAGGAGGCGAAGGAAGGAGATGCATTTGCCGACGTTCCCCTTGACCTCCGCCACCACAAGCCGAAGACCAAGCTCCAATTCCCAGACTCCTGGAAGTTGACCCCGGAGCGCAAGAAACAGATCGAAGCTCGCCGCGCTGAGAGACAACGCCTGGAGAAGGAAGGAGCGGGCATCGTGGATGGTAAGACGGTAATCGCCGAGGCGGCTCTGGTCTTGCCAGCATTGAACCCTGCCTTGAAGGCCAGGGCAACTGAAGAGCGAGAGAAGGTTGCTGTTCGGGTTACTGGTAAAGCACAGAAGAAGAGACTACGCTGAATATGAGCAACGTACGAATGCGAGGTGTACAATTTATCTGTCTGTTGGTCTGGGTGCTTTTTCAACCTTAAAATATCAGGAGCGGCGCAATCGCAATGTCATATTAGGCTTACTTATACAATGTATTATACTCATTCATCTTCATACATACACCTTATTACCCCTTTCAGTCTTAGTCTCAGATGGTCTTGACACTATCACTGGGCAAGCCTTCCTATGTAAATGTAGAGGAACGTTCATATAAATCCATTTCCATTCCTGTACATATCCCTAGGGTCCTATTTTTTTTTCCTTTTGTTTGTTTTTTGGATCAATGTGCGCATGTTATAGTCCCAACCCCCCTATAATACACCGAAACACGAGCCTATTATAATAGGAAAGGAAAGCACAAGAAAACAAAAGAAACTATCCCCAGGTACTTCACAGAAATGGATATCTCGAAGGATTGCAAAAGGTTCACATTGCGCAATTGTTGTATCCTAATCGTCATGTCGTGCTATACCCCTCGAGGATATACAACGACGAATCCATCCAACAAACGCGAAAGAAGACATACGAAAAGAAGAAAGGGTCGAATTCGGTGCAAATGAAGGTATCCTAGCAAGGTTCGGTACTGCAAACTATCCACCCGTTCATAAATGACATCCTGTCCGGCAGAAAGGTATATTTACTTGAACTAGATGTTAGTTGATTTATCATATGGCCAAGCTTCCCAAATACTTCGTATCCACATGGTCGAAGTCATAAATAGAGGGAAAAGGGGGCAAAGGAAGCTCCGGCACGAGTTTCAGTTTATGATCGTACATGGAGGATGGAGGACAAGGTAAATCTTTTCGCTGTGGTATTTACTGCAAATGCCCCAATACATCGGCTTAGAATTCATACTCGATTGGGGATCCGGTGGATCTGTTGCGGTGGACTTGCTTGGTGCCGATGGGTGCCTGCATCGTTCCGGAATCTTTCCCCTTGAACTGACTGCGATGAGCTCGAGGGCTGGATCCAGAGGAGAACGAGGCTCCAGAATGGGTCGATGGAGAGGCACCCCGAGTCGGAGGCTCTGAGGACGCGGCACCCATATGAGTAGGGTTAGGGATAGGGCTCGTCAACAGAGTGATGGGCGCATTCTTAGAGATGGCCGAAACCGCACCGGGGGACGCAGTCGCATGACTATGATAGGTAACGAAGGAATCAGCCTCGCCCCTTTCCATGCTCATATCGGGCATCATCATTTGGGACCGGGGTTGATAGAGACGGCGTGACTTTTGGCTTTTTTTGGAGCGTGGTTGGGTCGGGGTGCCTTCAAAGGAAGTTGATAGGTAGTCGGCACTTGTACCTATGGGAGCTGGCATAAGCGAGTGAAGGTTACGGACAAATTCCTCGTGCTGAGCCCTATCAGCGTTCTCAATGGCGGCTTGATCGGTAGGACTTGGGTAAGGCAGACCACTCATACCTCCCCCCATATGATTCAGGGCCGGATATTCTGGAAGGGGATCAAAAGAAAGTAGGTCTATCCTTCTAGACACTGAATTAACCGGGACTGGGATATGCTTGTGCGCATGCTTAGGGTTGGTCGAGGTCTTTGGTGAGCTCGCGGCTGGATAGGCGTGGCGAGATGGTCCAGAAGCCCCCGTAGCATGTTGCTGAGTAGAAATATAATGAGCAGCCTTCTGCTTAGAAGCCTTTTCGATATCCGAGGAATCGATCGCGCCGTTGATCTCCAAGCGTGAAGGGTACTGAATCGACTTCATAGTGCCACGCTCCACAGGATCATCCTTCCAGTGTTGACCATGACTGGCGTGAGAACGGGGGTGGCCATGTCCATTGGGCAGGAGGCTGGGAATGCCGTATTTTCGCGGTACCAACGAGGAATATCCCGAAGGCCAAGTTTTTCCAAGGTGGGGAGGTCATTAGGCATCTCGTGCTTATAGAGACAACCTGAAATGTATTAGCTGATTTATGTTTTTGTAAAACTGCGTCCCTTTCCATGTGCCCTTTACCTTGCTGCTGATAATCGCATTCACCATGACGGATCCAGTACGAACAAAACTCTTTCTTCGAGTTGTAATGAGCACTCTAATAGGACATTAGTTGGTGCTCTATCTTTACTGGTGCAGGTCCTCTTCGGGTTACATGTTGGGTAGCACTTACCTGCCTCGAACTTCCGCTACCTGTGCCACCGCTGCTGCTAGGAACCAACCAACCACTGGTCGGAGCGTTGGACATGAACCAGTTCTGGGAAATACCCTGTTGAAGGAGGGCATTCACGGCGATGCGCTGGTTTGCCGGAACATTCTCATCAGAGACGAGTCTCATGAGGGAGGTCTGCAGGTCCAAGTCACGGGAACGAGGGCCAGAAGACGCGCGGGTCGACGCTGACACCAGGCCATCGATGACGTAGGTTTGCGCTCTTGGACTCACAGTGCCTAAGCTGGTCATGCCCTGGGTCTCGTTGGCGGAGAGTGCACGAGGGACTCCACGAATCGATATATGGGAAGGAAGCTCATCAACAGCAATGAGGGGGGTGATAGTGCCATTTGGACGGGCACAAAAGAACTGGGGACGAAGCGGAGAGGACATGATGGCTCGCTCAGGCCTCGAATCACCCCAAGCCCCTGCTGTATTGCTGTTGTGGATGTTGGATATAAGAGAGCGATGAGATAAAGTGTGCGATGACGCGATGTTGGAGTATACCGTCACGAAAGGGAAGGAAGTGAGAAATGAGTTGAGACTAAATAGGTGAACAAGAAGAAACAGAATTTTTACAAGGAGTGGAGAAGAACAAAAACGAGGAAAAGGAACAGAAAGGGAGATTTGTGATTTAGTGAATCTCCAGATGATGTGGTGGTGGGCAAAAGATCTGTTGACATTCACTGGTTGACAGCGCGGACCCAAGGGATCTCCAGAGCCAAATACCATTAAAGAACAGTAGAGGGAAATAGGCATGAATCTAATGAGCTGCTATATATGAGAATAATAACAAATTTGAAGAGAGAAAGCAATACAAAGACCTGAATGAAAATGAGAAAAAAAACAATACAAGAATGCAATCTAAAGAGCCTCCGAGTATAACAAAGCAAGAACGCAGATAATGGTGAAAAAGAAATTCACACACAAAGTTTCAAAATGGCAAAGAACAAAAGAGGAAACGCCCTAAATGTATAAGAAAAGTGGACTAAAGCCCAATGCCGCCAGTGTTTGTCCGATAATGTTGGTCAGTACAACCATCTGCTCGGATGGCTGCAGCTTCTGAGGCGCAACTTCTCATTGCTCGTTTCCCGCGTCTTGCAGGAATCACCCTACTGTTTAGTACTTCGGGGATGCTTACTCTCCTGCTCTCTCTTTTCTCCTTTTTTCCCTTCATTTCTGTCCCTTGAATTCGCCACTTCTCTGTTTCTTCCTTGTCTTTCAGGAAGCTTCCGCCGGACAAATAACTTGTCTTGTCGAGCAGCTCTCGAACCGGTCACTGAAAGTCACATCGATGGTAAGTATACATTCTGGCACTGGTGCTCATCCGCCATTCTTACTGTTTCATCCGTATTCCAAATACTGATCCCTATACAGATCGTGTCCCCGGAATCGGTGGTTCGTGGCATCGTGGAATACAACGAGCATATACATACACCCTTCAAACGACATACAGCATGTGTCGGCGCCGATTCGACGAGGGCAAATGGAGGCAAACGAACTGCATTGTCCTTTAATCTTGTGAGTAGGAGTGGTGTGGTTTTGGTCTACACACATAGTTGATATGTTGAAGACTCGGAGGTCAACCCATCCAATAATTGAGCATCTACGACATGTGACCACCGTCCCCAAAACTACCTAACGATTGGAATTGGCCCTTTCGGCCTTTAATCCGAGTAGTGAGTCGTTTCGTGCAACAGTTGTTCCCGAAGGTGTATGGGTTTACTATGTATTGTACATCTCTCGCCTTTCCCACATGGCGATGATTCTCTGTTCCCCAAGTGTAAAATGACTATGAGCGCCAGAATGAACCTGAAAAATCGCTAAGGCCAGAGAAAAAAAGAAAGCAAAATATAGACAAAAAGCTAAGCAAGATCGGCCAGAAAATGTGCGTCCCACGGATTTACGGACAAAATGCTCATCCCTTCTCGCCATTCATCATTACGTCCGTACTCGAGGCATGAAGGCCTTACTTCTTGACTCTCAGAGCGTCATCCGAGTGAACATGGCATCCGCCCCCGACTGGGTTGCCGGTTTAGCAAGCCGTACATTCTCTGTCAAATTGACCACTGACGGCTTTGCGGTAGTGGTGTTAACAGCGGCGGGAGTGGCACCACCAGGTGTACCCTGAGTTGCTGTGAGACTCCCCGTAGCCTTACTGGCCTGTTTTCTTTTACGCTGTGCAAGGTCACCGCGGATACCAGTCAAATATTTCTTTGCTTGAAGGACAAGTTCAGGGTCCTCAGTGCTTTGCTTCAGAGCGTCCAGCATCTTGGCCACTTGTGTGTCTGATTGTAAATGAGGACAGGTGCGGGAGAACCCAAAATGCGCAAGACCGCAGAGGCCACAATGCTCCACGCCGGCTAGTTTCAAGCGACAGGAGCCGACCGGGTGATTCTGATTGCAGGCGAAACACGAGGGCCGGGTCTCTGGGGGGCCGTCCATGCCTGCCGCGCTTATCGAGAGGTCGTGGTCGATTATGGGGTTGACTCGTTCGAATGCGCGTACTTTCGTTATCTTCGCCGGACGTTCTTCGGGATCGAGCTCGGGAGGAGAGTCAGACTCAGATTCCACGGCATCTTCCCCCTTGAACTCAGTATCGCTTTCAGCATCTCGTTTACCGGGCCTTTTAGCGGGGGATAGTTCCGTAGTAGCAGCATTTGAATAGTCAACGGTCACCCGCTTTCTCTTTCCACGCCCGAAATTTTCGGCTTTTCTGGCTTCTTCTGCTGCCGCCTCTTCTCGCTCCTTAAGGATCTTCTCCCAAATAGCACTATTCTCTGATGTAGGATCTTCTGTGTCTTGCAGTTCGCTTAAGTTCTGGTTGTCATTTGCCCAGACCCGAGCAAAGCTAAATTGGGATTCAGAGGTTTCCTCGTTGGGAGACGAGACCTGTTCAGCTTGACTGCGGTCAAGAAGCTTATCGACAGACGCAGAATCGTACCGTATATCCCCTGAATCATCGTCTTCAAACAATGCTTGAGCTCCGTGTCGAAGTATAGACTCCAAGTCCTGCCCGTCGTCTTCTTCTGAAACCATTCGGTCAATCAGTACATGATCTAGCACCATCTTCTTCTTTCCAATCTGCATGATCTTCTCTTCAGCGCTGCCCCGGGTCATCAGTTGAAACACAAGCACCTTGTTCTTTTGTCCTATGCGATGAGCACGCGACAATGCTTGCATGTCCTGGTGAGGGTTGAAATCAGGGTCCATGATGATGACGGTATCTGCAGTGGCAAGATTGATACCTACACCTCCCGATCTGGTGGAGAGTAAAAATGCGAAGTACGGCGAGTCTTCAGCATTGTACTGGTCAATCATTTTCTGCTTCTCCAAAGATGACATTCTTCCATCAAGGCGGCGATGCAAAAGCCCCAACCCATCAAGAAAATCTTCAACTATATCCAAATTGTCAAGAAATTGACTAAAGATCAGAACTCTATGACCGCGCTCTTTGAGCTTTGGTAGCATTAACTGCAAGAGCTGGAGCTTTCCAGCCGCCTCTACCAAGTGCTTGTGAGATGTAGCAGCATTGTTTGTCCGCTCCTCAATAGCTGTACTATAAATGAATGGATGGCATAAGCATTTTCGAAGCTGCATCAGGATATTGTTCAGGTTCTGACGTTCGGCTTGTTTGGAACCCTGGTTATCATTCTTTCGCTGGAAGATGGCCTTGATCAACTGTGGATTCTTCGCCAGAATGGACTTATACAGTTTCTTCTGGACCAGGGACATAGAAACTGGAACAATGATCTGGACAACTGGTGGAAGAAAAGTGAGCACCTGGGCTTTTGTCCGGCGTAGAAAAAACGGCCGGATCATGTTGTGTAGTTCAGGAATATTCTCTTTAGATAGTATTCCATACTCGTTTTCCAGTTCCTCTGCATTCTTCGTTGGGTCGCAGAACTGAAGAAGGTTGAACAACTCCCTGGTGTTGTTCTGCAGAGGGGTACCTGTCAATAGAAGTTTGAAAGGGAAACGAATCCGAGACAGTGACTCGTATAACTGGCTTTTGTCATTTTTCAAACGTTGGCCTTCATCGACGACCAAGCCAGCCCAAGGTATTTTGGCGAGGACTCGTCGAGAGGCATCATCAGCCATGGTTTCATAGGAAGTCACAACTACATGACATCTTAGATCAGAGCTGCCCTCATTAAACATCTCATACTTCTGCGCGAGTTGACGCGAGAACGAGGATCCATAGTATGTGACCACCCGAATAGAAGGAACCCATGCTTTTATTTCCTTTCGCCAGTTTGGACACGTCGAGTTTGGGACCACAACAAGGAATGGCCAGCATTTGTGATACTGTATCAAAGTTGCAAATAGGCCGATCACCTGAATGGTCTTCCCTAGTCCCATCTCATCGGCAAGAATGGCGTTCTGTTGTTTGAACCACATGTAATAAAGCCAATTCAAACCATCTTTTTGATAGTCCATCAGTTGTCCCCCGGTCATAGTTTCAGGTTGTGTGTCTTTCACAATATTTTTCTTAAAATTCTGCTTTCGGACCTGCTCCAGATGCTTTCTGAGGGAGTGTTGATTTGGCATATGAGTGTAGTCACGTTTCACCCAGTCCTCGTATGCAGTTTTGAAATCGGCCCACCTCTCAGCATTGTTACGGTCGGGTGGTGAGTCCCATACGGCATCCTCATATGTTAGACCCTTAAACTTTATGTAGGCTTTAGACACCCTATCAACTCGTGACTTGGCTGCTTCGATAGATTGATCCTCCGAATCGTCGTCATTGTTGTCATCTGCGTACTGGACATCGAAGATAATGTCAGCTCGAAGGAAGTCTTCCGGTATTGCCTCTTCGATTGTCATATCCGGGTTTGAATTTTTGTTTGATCTGAAAAAGGCCCGTCGCATGGCCGGGCTTACAACGCTCCATACCCAGCTGCCAGGTACCCAGGTGGTATGATAATAAGACATTGTTTTCCATTTTATTAGGTACTCTTTGTCGACCTCCTCCATAATATTTGCGCTGTACCCAGTAACGTATGTCTTAAGGTCTGTTGGCCTCCAGGCAACTATTGCACCGATCTCTCCAGGGGCCGAAGCACAGTCACCACAGTGCCCCGTTATTTTATGGTCTGCAGAGATATGATCAAAATGAAACGCTCTATGACATTCAGTACAGCGAAAGAGTAGGTTGGCCGTATTATTCAAACGAGCCATATCCACATCGGTGATAGGATCTTTGCCACCATTCTCCTGCCGAAGCTGCTGCTCCTGCTTTGGCGTCAAGCGCTCCCGCAGTGGCTTAGACATATTCCCTTTCTTAGAACACTCAGTGCAGCGGCCTTGGTGTGGGCAAACCTGGTCTTTTGTATGGGCAACACCTAGGCAGCGACGACACTGAAGAACAAACAAGTCATCCGAAACCTTACTTACAAGGTGTTCGCGTGTAGCTCGAGGACCTAGGCAAGATTGATGATAAGCGCTTGTACATCCCTGACAGAAGACAAGAGGGCCTTTCGCATGGTCATCTCCGCTGCGGTAGCAAACTGCACACGTTTCATTGTGAAGACTTCGGAACGGGTCACCGGATGGGATCTTGCGAAATGTTTCCTTCGCTCCGAAGAACTTCTGTGTCTTGGCGGCATCTTCAAACTCAGAAATGTCCTCTTCATACTTCTCCCTGAGGTTTTTCCGAAGTGTCTTCCGCTGCCGGGTTGAAAACCGCGAGCCTGTAGGTCCTGGGGCAAAGTCACTTTCCATGTCCGAGCCACCCGAGTGTGTCTTAGCTTGTTTGCGTCTCCTTAAGCGTTTCTGCTTGATAGTTGCCGTAGACGATATGATAACGTCGTCACTCGAAGGAGATCCAGAGCGGGATTCCTCGTCCTCACTGCTCATGCGGCTAAAGAAATCCGTGAACTGAGTATTCCTAGCTCGAGTAGAGCGTCGCCTTGCCCCAGACTCAGATGAAGTATATCCTTCTTCATTGGACGAGGCCATGCTGGGCGGGGCCTGTAATGAGCTTTCGTAGACTTGTTCTGTATTTTGGAAACTTGTGAGGGCTTCGGGTCCGTTGCTTAGGCTCTCAAGTCGTGAGGATGACATCTATATGAAAGCAGATACCAGTAAGATAGAGGCTAAGTAAAAGTTGTGTGAGAGAAACGTACTTACCGTTTCAGTTTCACCACTGCGCAATTTAACTAAATAGGAAGGTTCCATTGCAGTCTCTATTTTCTCACTTATGATACAACGGACATCAAAATGCCCGGGGAGGAAATCATATTCATCACTATTAGATATTGTCGGAATCTCTACCGCCACCTGTATTCTGGACGGTCCCGGCGAGCCTCGGGTGTTTGGGCATGAGACTTGCTTTGAAATTGCGATAGGAGGTCTGCGACAAGATCCTCGTTCAACTGAGATGCGATTTCTCCATCCATATTGGGTATTTTGCACCCTGTGGTACTCTCATACAAACTCACTATAGCAGGCACACTGATAAGGGACAGAGGAAGGGTACTTCGACTTTTGAGGTCGCTGGCAATTGACACATAAATGACAGAACACCAATGAGAATGTTACAAAAAAAAGAGCGGACTGTTAGATATTTTTCATTAGGGAGCAAAAGCGAAAGAATGAATCAATCGCCACTAACACAACTGTTCAACGGAGGATCTATCAAATTTCCCAACTGCGTAATATTGCATCTAAACGCGACGCGCGACCGCCCGGATCAAAGATGATCCGCTTATCTTATCGGACCTTGAGCAAGCTCCCAAGCAAAAAAAAAAAAAGAAAACATCAGGTTTGTGAAGTTAAATCATGCATTGATAGCTTTACGTACAAATCCCTCTTATTATAATTATTAGCTTCTCTAATTACCTGCAATGTCTCATCGTTCGCTATTGAAACCCTTGCATTCATATATGCGCCTATCTATAGCTCCGTCTATTCACCTGAATCATGTGAGACGTGCTTCACTCAACTCGGCCATTGGTCGTGGTATCCGCAAGACCCGGGGCTTCGATGGTCCATCTTCGTCGCGAAATTCATATGATTCTGACTTTGAACGGCCGTACAGAGAAAGGAGGGACCCCAAACCGAATAGAACAGAAAAGAAAACTCAGGGCAGAAATTGGGTCGACGGTGAATTCGATGAAGATGAATTTATTAGGACAGGAAATTTCCGCGCACTGCCTCGTGAACACCAACGCTTTCAGAGCAGTAAGAGGTTGTCGAATAATGAAGACAGAGGATATGATAACCGTGAGACTAGCGACAGACCTCATGACAAACGCCACCAACGCTTTCAGAGCAGTCAGAGGTCGTCGAGGAATGAAGTCAGGGGATACGATGACCGTGAGACTAGCGACAGACCTCAGGACAAGCGTTACCCTCGCCGAGCGGAACCACCGAAACACCACCGTGCCACGGAGAGAGTACCAGAGCGGGTAAAGGAAAATGTGCAAGTCCCTGACGCAATCCCATACACGACACCGGCATCGGAATTCATCTATGGAACCAGCGCAGTGGAGGCTGCACTACGCTGTAGCAGACGTCGTCTGTACAAATTATATGTGTATCAGGCCGCTGGCGAAGAACTGAGCCCTGCCAAGGTTGCACTGCGCAAATTGGCACTTGTAAAGAATGTCAAAGTTAAGATGGCCTTCGGTGGATGGGACCGGCTTCTTGACAAAATGAGTGCTGGTCGACCTCATAATGGCTGCGTCCTTGAAGCGTCCCCTCTGCCAAGATTGCCAGTGAGGGGCTTGAAGAGTGTTCCATCTGTGAAGGAGGAGGATTTTGGTGTGGAATTGGGCGCTCAATCACGAGAAGAAGCATTGGTGAATAGTACGAACGACAAGCTTAAAATCCATCATTGGGATCACAGAACAAGGTACCCTGTTGTATTATTACTCGACGGGATTGTGGATCCTGGAAACCTGGGTGCTATCATTCGCTCCGCGTATTATCTTGGTGTCGATGCTATAATATTCGCTGGTCGAAACTCGGCACCTTTGTCTCCTGTGACAATCAAGGCCTCGGCTGGAGCGGCTGAGAATATGTCTCTTCTTGAAGTGAGCAACGAAGTGGACTTCATCCAGCGTTCCAAAGCCAATGGATGGAAATTTTACGCAGCAGATGCCCCAGGTCCAGCTTCCAAATATGTGGACAATACTTCTATTGTCGAGGGTAAAGGTACGACCGAAGGGGGACATTTTAGCACCCAATCGCCTTGCGTTATTATGATGGGGAGCGAGGGATCCGGATTGAGTCGTCACATTAAGTCGCACGCGGACTCTATCGTGAGCATCCCTGGAGCCAGACTTACTACGCCCCTTGGTGTCGAGTCTGATCCTTCTAGAGTGGACAGCCTTAACGTCAGTGTGGCAGCGGCGCTGCTGATGGAAATGTTTCTACGTGTACCACTTGCGGTAGCCGATGTGCGTCCGAAGAAATCTCGGTGAACCTGAATCAGAATGATAATAATGACAGCTTGTAAATATATAACTTGTACATTAGCTTAATTCAACCCTATGGACAAAACTCAAGAATCTTCATATACAACATTCATCGAGAAAACCTTGACATCATAATAGTAATACTTAGGCCCAGCTCTTATTCTACGCTTCCGGTTTGGGCTGCACGGCACCAAATTGAAGAGAACCGAAATCAAATATCTATATCATTCGTTCTGTCAGAAGAGCATACGAGGGGTGTTTGGAGTATGCAACTCACCACATATAATCCCTCCAAAAATGTCCCACCAAGAATATCAAAATCGAGCGATCCACGACTCTGGATACCCCCATATATGTAGCCAGGCTTGGTTTCAGCAAACGCCAGACTTTTCTTTAAAATAGCGAACGATTTATCCCCTACTGCTAATTGAATAACTGGAAGCTGGTCCACATTGACGTCAGATGGGATGAGAAAGCCTTGGCTTTCGCTATCATAGAATGCACCCGGGATAGAGTCATAAATGGCTTGACACGTTTGGTCATCAAGTAGAGTCAATGCTGCGTCGGTATCGACAATAGCCTTGTTTTCAGATCTGTTAATGGCTTTCCCCCCAACCGTTGTAGAGGGGGATTCTAACATCCAATACCCTTGACTATTGTCAATAGGTGTATAATGGACATCATGACCACAATAGCGCACGGTATCCTCATTGATGGAGCCAAATGTGAAAAATGGTTTCTTTAGGTCAGAATCGCCCCAAGACCCAAATTTTGCTGTGAACAGCTTTGCAGATTGTTCGAGGTCGTCTCCAGTATTCAAGCGCTCAGCCAGGGCCTTGATGTCCTCCTGGGGATGATTGATATGTCCAAATGCCAGCCCCAGAACGCCGTCTGCTGAAAATTGGGTGAACATTGAGGATATGGTTTTGGCAAGCTGAACGGGCTGTGTCTTCAAAGCAACCCCTCCAATGGTGATATCTTCCGTGCCAATGGAACCAGACACCGCAGAACCATCCACATAGGATACTTTCCATGGCGAATCTTCGATGTCTTTGAATGTGCTCGATTTAACAGGATCATAGGTATGGCTCTCCTCCCCACCGTGGGGCAGTGTATCTGAAGGGAGCTCACTAGATCGCACCTGCTAGTGTTAGTATGGTAGGTTTTGTCTTTCTCCTATTTTGATTGAGATAAATATATCTTACCCAAAAGTCAGCAGACGCTGTATCCAAGACCAAGTTCAAAGCTTGAGACGGGGTTCCGATGCTCACGGGCGCGAAGAACACTGCATCATTTTGGATGTCCTCCTTCTCAACTTGCTGGAATTTGTCGTCCGAGATCTGTTTTCGCATCACGTCGTGAAAGCGAACTCGACCACCAATAGGCTTGTCAGTGAAGGGCCGGCCAGTTTGGTGAATAGCTCGACCGATAGAAAAGGGGCCATTTCTAGTAGGGTGCAAACGATATTTGCGTATCAGATGCACATAGGACTTGATCCCAGATTTGGAGTAGTTTGGATTCTCAACAAGGAAGATCTTGGATGCCATGGTGATAATAGTTGCGTTTTCGTCTGTTCAAGCGAACTCGGGAGGTAGACTTATATCAAAGATGATGACGGAATGACAATGGGTTCCAAGGTAACCATCACTGCTGTCTTAGTGTCAGGGTCCCCACCACGTACTAACTTATCTGCGGATCTGATTCTAGTCACATACCTTGCACGCTAAGGATGATCTACAGTTACAGTGAGCGACCGCCGGTCCAATGGGATCCAACATACGGCAACATTGAGGGGTCAGAATAAATTAGAAGCTGCGTAAGATAGGTAGAATGTTAATATTTCAGGGGCAACGTCACATGTTGCATGGCGAATCAAGCAGGGCAAGTGTCATCATTGCCAACCTGAAAGTCCGTTCCCTGTCGACTTTGGATCCCAATTCCGTGTCATATGATCAATGGCTGCCTGAGGATATTCCACGGTTAACACAGAACCAGCTGATGGAAGCTCCACATTAGGAAGTATTCTATTGCTTTTGTATACATTTCAGATACCGTACGCATGGGTACAGATAAATAGCTATTGTGTTACAGAGAAAGATATGACAAGAACCGTGAAGCGACATCATCAACAATGGCATCTATGAGCCAACGCCAGACCGACTTATATTGAAAAAGAACCAAACCCCTCGCATGGCCAATTACCTTCCCAAACACTGCAGAACGGTCGTAACAATATTTAGCTGTTTAACAACTATTGAGCACGGTAAGAACTACTTCTTCCGACTTTTTGCCTTTGGTGCCGTGTTAGACGAGACACTAGCTGCCCGCGACGTCGACGTAGAATTGGCTTTGCTGTTGCCTTTAACAGCCTTGACCTGCTTGTTCTATGAAACCATACACGTCAGTTGAATGCATCGGGCGTTGAACAAGACCAAACTTACCACTGCGCCGCCCTTGTTCTTCTTTTTAGCCGGTGCTCCATCATCGTCATTTTCAGCATCCTCATCGTCTCGATCACGTCCACGACCCTTGCCAGACTCGCCGTTGGCTTTCTCATCCGCAACTTCAAACTCCTTTGCAACAGTATTCAATAATGTAGTACAACGGCGTCCAATTTCCACGGGCGTTCGGCTAAGGAAGAACCAGTCGAACCGGAAGAGTGGGGACTCGCGAATTTCATCCCGGATTTTCTCATACAGTCCCTCACCATCCACTCCGTACTTATCGAGCATCACTAGTAAAAACCGATCCTCTTCTTCGGTATACACCTTCTTATTAGTGGTAGACACCGTGTAGTTAATCTTGAGTTGCTGAAGAGGAACGCGGTACATCTCCATCTTCTTGCGAAGCATTTTACGATGATGGTTCATCTTGCGCAGCTTCTCCTCTCCCTGCTCAACAACACGGAGATATTTAGGGTAGTCTTGGATCTCGGTGTACCGCTTCCAAAACACTTTGGCGTATTCTTCAACTTCATCTGGTTCTTTGCTATCCACTTCTGTGGCGATCCCAACATAATCAGTGCGTCCGAACTTGGCCGAGCCATTAACAAACTGCTGGAAATCACGGCGATTCCAGGTTGAAAAGCCTTCCTCTGACATTTCAGCCTTCTGCGTCTGCTCTTCTTCCGTCAATGGCACCGCATTGTCAATTTCCTGCTGCTCCAAATCGCGCTCGGCTTCACGCTCACTAAGTTCCTCTTCAGGCCCATCAGGTAGCGGAACTTTATAGCCGATCTCTTTGTGGAAGTAGGCGGTTTCTTTCTCCTGGAGTTCTTGGAGTCCCGGAGGGAAGAACTGCCAATCGTGAACAGCAATTTGCTTAGGTGCCCGCGGGACCTTCGGTTTGGGGTCAGCGGTTCTTCCACCAGTAGCTAGCGCTTGGCGATAGTATTTGTCAATAGAGTAGAACTGCTCTTTCCGTTCGCGTTTGGCCGGGTTGATCCAATTGAGGCCGATGTCCTTCTTGCGATCTGTGAAATCCTTTCCGTTCCATTCGTATGCACTTTCAGAGCTAAACTTTTGCAAATCATCGATACCAAGTTTCTCATATTTTTTGCTCAGTTCTGCAGTTCGCTCCTCACCCTTGCGTAAAATCGCATCGATATCATCATCAGAAATTTGTTTGTCGGCATTAAAAGGTGCAGTCGAATTGTCATTGCTGAAAACGTTCGCAGCTCCGTGCTGGATCATGCCAAGCAGTTCCTCCTTCGATGCGGCGTTCTTGGTCTGTTGCTGAGCACGGCCTTGTTGGATAACAAGCTGGTCTAACCGCAGCTTCTGGGCTGCACGTTCCAGGACCTTCTCTTCAATCGCATTCTCTGTGACAAATCTGAATACAACCACTTGCTTCGTCTGACCAATACGATGGGCACGGTCCATGGCCTGTAGATCAGCCTGGGGGTTCCAATCACTGTCGTAGAGGACAACGATATCCGCAGTCGTCAAGTTAATACCGAGACCTCCTGCCCTAGTGGTAAGCAAGAAGACAAACTTGTCCGATCCTGGCTTGTTGTACTCGTCAATTGCAGCGATTCGATCCTCATGAGCTGTCGTACCATCGATACGGCAATAATTGTACTCTCTGAAAACACAGTAATCTTCCAAGATATCAAGCACACGACTCATCTGGGAGAAAATAAGAACGCGGCTTCCCTGTTTCTGCATACGTGCCAAGAGCTTGTCTAAAATTGACATCTTGCCGGCGTTGTATACAAGATGCTCATCCGTTGTATAAGGAGGGCCCGGCTCAGCTCCTTCAAAAAGGTAGGGGTGATTACAACATTTGCGAAGTTGCATGACAATGTTTAATAGACGGGTCTTAGATTCGCGCTTTCCAGCGGCACCGTTGACAGCGTCGATATCCTTCTCAAGAATCTTCTGGTACCACTTCACCTGCATTTCTGACATGGGTACATAAAGATTGACCTCCTTCTTGGGAAGCAAGCTCTTCTCTACATCGCTCTTAACACGACGGAGAAGGAATGGTCGCAGTACTCGGTGAAGTTGCTGGACAACGGTGTCCTGGTCAGACTCTTGGTTTGAGAACCATTGATCGAATGCCTCCGAATCACCAAAAACATCCGGCAACAGGAAGTTCAAAAGGGCCCAAAGCTCATGGAGGTTGTTCTGGAGTGGAGTACCAGTAATTAGCAGTCGATTCCGAGAATGGAACACACGAATGATCTGTGCAAGTGACGATTCTTCGTTTTTGATTCTATGGGCCTCATCGATGATGATGTACTCCCAAGCGAACTTCTTAAGATGAGACTTCTCCCGAAGAACCATTTCGTAACTGGTGATGCACACATCGAAGTTCTCATCAAGAAGTCTTTCGTTTATTAACTTATGGCGCTCCTCCTTGTCTCCCTGAAGAACAAGAACATTAACGTCAGGTGTCCATTTGTGGAATTCGCGCTTCCAATTATCGAGCGTTGATTTCGGCACAGCAACCAGGTGAGGTCCCGTAATGTCGCAGACATGTCTGAGGTACCCGAGGAAAGAAATGGTTTGAAGGGTTTTACCCAAGCCCATTTCATCGGCAAGGATACCGGAGATACCATTCTCATGTAGAGAAACAAGCCAGTTCAATCCAGCAATTTGATAATCACGCATTTCTCCCTTAACGAATGGCGGGGATTCACGAAAGACGGTGCGGGTTTCGCCGCCGCTCTTCTCATCCTTCAATAACTCTGCGTCTTCCTCTTGTTCCGTCCTGCGACGCTATCACCACCTGCACCGCCTGAACGTGACGAGCCTTTTTTCTTGGCCTTTGCCTCTTCTTCATCATTTTGTCGGTCTATCTCAGCCATTATATCTTTGATCCGTGGGTTGGGGTTGGTTTCGATAAAGTGGCGAAACAAGTCGGTAAGTCCGAGGAGGTAACGGAATCTCCGAATCGAATCATCTTCCTGTAGTAGACTGTCATGAGAATCTCCAGCCGCGACAAGTGATATGACAAGCAGACTACTATACCTTTGACTCGTCCAGACGACCATGCTTTTTACCCAGGATACTCTTCCTCAAATGAAATGCCTCAGATCTCTTTCTTCGGCCGTCGACGGGAACTGTGTCGCCTGCAACACTGCTTGCTGTGGTGTTTGGGTTTGTGTCCGAATCCTGGTTCGCACCGGTTAGCCTGCGTGTTGGGAAGTGCTGGTAAATCGCGTAGAATGTACCGTGTAGTCTGGAGTGTCCTGGTAGCCCTGTTTGGAAAGTAAAGTCAGCATGAACCCAGGTCTAATAATATGCATCGCTTATCAATGCGCGAAAGCCAGAGCTAGTGCGGAAGCGATTTGACCAGGTTCTGTCACCTACCCCCATTTGCGCGTCATCTACGGGTACCGACGTGACGGGTTCATCATTTGCATCTGTCATAGGAGTATCTGCCTGAGAGGGTGTTTCTGAATTGGGGGCGAACGAAGGCGCCATCTTCGGTCTGGGCGCACTCCGCGCAAATAACTTGTGTTATGTATAGAGCCGAACACGCCTTGCCAGCGCTCCGAAAGCACGGTAGGCGATAAACTGAGTGGGGAAGCTAAGACGTTGATTGCCCACTGTTGTGAGATCGATTGGGGTGGGTGCAGGTTTATGAAGAAATTGATTCCCAGTATGCAACAAGGAGCGGGAATTGAACAATAAAGGTTGATGAAAGAAGTAGCCCTCGTCAGTCGCGCCGGGATGGCAAATGGAATTTCGTCGGGGAAGCGCGGCCGTCCTACGCGCTTATTGGACAGGGAGCGCGAAGGTCCTGCTTAGTCACATATGAGTCATCATTCGGCGGAAGACAAGTTTCCCCGCTGTGGGTCACGTTACCGGGACAAAAGCAAAGAAAGATCACCTGCACAAGTATCATCACTGATTATAGTCACCGGGTTTCCTTGCTTCCATTCAACCTAATCCCTTTCACTACATTTTCTAATTTTCCGTGGGGTGCGACCTGGTTTCCAGTTTTAATTGGTCTTGTTTTTCTTATCTCGTTTCTGTCTCAGCTCCATCTTTGTTGGTATCTTTTCAGGGAGCACGGTTCACCTCGCCCCTCCTAGTGGCGCCAACCGCATATTGTTTTGAAGTTAAGGAGAATCATTAGCACAGCTGCTTGATTTGCAGCACTATCTACCATGGACTCCATGAGGTCATTGAACACATCGCTACCTAGCTCGACTCCTCGCACTCAACCTCCTGAACAACTTTTACAATCGTTCAAAGCAGCCGCGCTATCTGTTACCAATCTTTATAAAAATGCAGTCTACGAGCAATCACAGGCTAAACAAGCTGGCTACCAAGAAGCAATTGAAGACCTACTGCATTTTCTAGACAAGGAAGGTCTTGGCCTTACTGGTGGCGAAGGATCGAAAATCCGACAATGGGCAGCTGAAAGGAGTGATGGAACCGGGACTCCGAGCGACGATGACGAGCCTGAGAAGCAACCTCGAAGCACTAGCCCCGTTGCTACACGCAAGGAACAAACAAAGCCAGAAGCTGCCCGACAGCCAGCCAAGTCGACCTCGACTGACGAGTCCGTTGCTACACAGCAACAGCCCCCACTTAACAACTCTCACGTCGCCGAGGCAAGCACTCTTGATAGACCGGCAGTCTTTACTTTCACCGCCGGGCCTTCATTTCCTCCATGCCAAGAACCCGATGTAGATATGCAATCCTCCGACAGCTCGACAGCCTCATCTCAAGATAGTTCACCTGTGAGTGTATCTGTTCTTCCTCGGACCTCTCGACAACAAGCCCGACACAACAACTTCTCACGGGCGAACCCTCGAGCATCCACACGGGAGCCTTCTGTCGGCGCGGGCTCAAAACGAAAGTTTGCAGTTCCCGACTTTTTTGACATATCGGGGCTAGGGAATAGAGATATATTTGGGGGCGGCAAACGCGGCCGTTTCACCTAGAGAATATAGTATCGACGATTGGACGAACCTCATATTCTTATGGTAACGCAGCGGTTTGATTGATGTTTTGAGTTCACGGTGCATTTGGAGGGAGTCTCGCATGTGGTCTTCTTTGGGCCACCTCTTGTTGTCTTCATTTTCCAGCCTTTTGTCTTCATTGCTTTCCTGTTTCTTATAACGGTTAAACATAGAGAGGTTATCAGATCTGGTGATACCCGGTGGGGCAGCTCTTGTGATGCTTGTTTCGTGTAATCCTTCACCTTTGTTCATGTCTTTTCCTTCATTTCTTCTACATGCATATATGACAACCCTTAGGCGATTGTTCTTGTTCTCAATCAGCTCTAATACAAGTGTTACTGGAAGCTAAGCAGGACACAATCTTGTATCAAGGTTACTCTATTATTCAATTAAAAGCCCTGTAAATACCCATTCCCACCAGTGTTGCGGAGATAGTCGCAATGCCTAGCCTCCGCGATCCCATTTTATACTTCGTAGCACTTTGCATGACCGCGCGCTCCTGCTTCTGCAGATTGCTCATGCCCGTATAATAGCTGTAGACACCGAGACCAATAAATGCGGCGGAACCTGGTTACATTGCGTATGTGTCAGACGACATTTCACTGGCTCATTTGAACGTTTATATAGACAAGTATATAGAAGGAAACTATGGAAAACTAACCTGTGACCCTGCAAGCTGTACAGTCGTCATATTGGTCTTCTGCCAGTAGACGTTTAGCGTCTTTGGACTCGACGTCCCAGGCGCGGCCGTTATTCTCCGAAGCTGAAGACATTGGAATCGGTAGGTTGGTTGGTCGCTAGTTGCAGCGGAGTAGTACAGTAGGTATGATCGAGTTTCTCGGAAATTGTAAAACCTATCCCTGGCCAAGATAGGACAACTGATCAGTGACTCGAAAGCAAAGAACTGTCTTGAATTTCAGCGAGAATCACGATACAAAAGAAAGGCGGCAATCGGCGGCAGAACAGGACAATTTAGAGATGTCATTAAATGACCGCAGCCCCATGTCGTTGTTTCTCCCCACCGATAAAGGAACAAGACAGATCGGCATGATGAGCGGGGAGATTGATGCGCTCTATATTTTCGATGAGCATAAGTATGCATATTTTCCGGTCTTCTTTAACTTCTGTTCTACGATAACTGACTTATCGATCCATAGCAGTCCTCTTGTAGAGCAGGTCTATCGCTCCCGGCCGCCCTCCGCAGCTACTATCCTACCCCTCTACCTCGCGCATCCAGCTCCGCGGCCGTCGCTCCTTTATATTCCTAATGTGACGCCGCCCGTAACTGTTTTCTCAATTGTTCAGTCAAACTTACTCTTTCTGGCGCTTTCCGAAGTCGATACGGAGCCACTCGTTGCACTAGAGTTCCTACATCGCGTAGTGGATGTACTTGAGGAATTCGTCGGAGCACCATTGATTTCACACAAGATACAGGCAAACTATGAAGTGGTTGCACAGTTACTCAATGAAATGTGCGATGCAGGTGTTGTATGCAATACAGAGCTAAATGCGCTACAGGAGGCTGTGGAAATGCCGGGGTGGATGGGGAAGTTGTTGGGTAATGTCGGGCTGTCTGGGTGAGTCTCTCATATTTAGTCCTATTTGGTCTTGTATAGTATTGTGGTTTAGGATTACCTACGTATTTCCTACTAACATGGTTACTTTCGAAGATCCTCTACGCCTATCTTGGGACCTCCGAATACGCTCAAGCGGTCAATCTCAGCCAATGCGGCGACTCAAGGACCTGCGATACCATGGAGAAGATCTGGAGTGCGGCACACTTCTAACGAGCTATATGTTGACATTATCGAATCGCTGTCGGTCACGATGGCGCCTTCAGGACGATTACTCTCTGCCTTGGTGTCCGGCACCATTGCCTTCACGGCCAAAATCTCCGGTGTTCCTGAATTACAGCTTTCCTTGACAGCTCCTGGTGGTCAACAAGCCATTGCGCGAAAGCTCGAGTTACCCGTTTTTCATCCATGTGTACGACTGGCAAAATGGCGAGAGCGGCCAGGAGAATTGAGCTTTGTGCCCCCGGACGGACGGTTTATTCTCGCAGGGTATGAGGTCGACCTTCTACCCATTGATCCCAGCCTCGATCAACCGCCAAGTCACATGGAGAAGCTCTTTCTGCCCGCCATTGTAGACATTCGTAAATCGCTGGGTCCGACCGGCTCCGATTTCGAAGTCCGCCTGATTCTCAACACAAACTTCCCGGGTTATTCATCCTCAAACCGGCCCGGAGGACGAAATGGCTCCGGTACGTCGACGCCGTCGTTTCTTGGAGGAGGCGGGAACTCCTCGGGCCCTGTCTTAGAAGATGTTTTGGTTACGATACCTATTCCAAAATCAGTCCGCAATATCACAGATATGCAAGCCAGCCGCGGTGATGCGCTCTTCTCCCCTGGTAACAATGTCCTTGAATGGCGAGTCCCGACCAAAGACGCTGGAACCGTCTCGGGCACCGCAACCCTCCGTTGCACCGTGGCCGGACATTCAACCGGCGACGATGATTTCGATGAAGAAGCCGAAGAAGTCGATCCGGAAGCAAACCTCCTCCAAGCTACTACGACGCCGAACCCTCAACATCCTACCAAGCCCCCGAAGAAGAGACAACGAAGCGGAAGACAAAGAAAAAGAAGAAGAAGAAGGTCAAGAAGTCCTCTCGCGCCGCCCCCGCCATACCAGATGCAGACCAACCGGAGATAGCCCAAGAGCCATCCCAACCGCAATCCCCAACACCTCCCCAGCCCTCCCCTTCACCTCAACCACAACCACAACCACCACAACAACAACCTCCAACTGACGACACCTCCCGCTCAATCTTCCACACTACACAACGCAAAACCAAAGCCCAGCTGAACACAACTCTCATGCCTAATTCGGCCGCGGTGTCATTCTCAGTCCGAGGCTGGCTCCCCTCGGGGATCAAGGTGGACAGTCTGAATATTGACCCGCGACGAAGTCGTGGCTTGGGCGAGACTGTGAAGCCCTACAAGGGAGTAAAGTATTTATGTGTCAGTCGAAAAGGAGTGGAGAGAAGATGTTGATATATATTATTATCATCCTATTATTTTGAATTTCTTTTTTTCTTTTTCTTTCTTCTTATTGCTGCTCTTTGGCTACATGGATGACAATCTAGCAAGGATCTCATATGCATGATAAAGCATTCATCATTCGCATGATACGGATAATGATACTTGACATACGTTCAAATAGAGTACATAGAACTAGACTCGTGATGAAAGTGGAAGAAGTTTGTAGGTTAACAGTACATAACCAGCTAACTCGAAGATTCTGAATAAACATCGTTCGTATAACTATACACTTTCGAAAAACTGACGACGCTACCTAACCAAAACATTATATATCCGAATCGAGAATATTAGGTCACATTAAAGCTTCGAAGCACGGCGTTCAAGAACCTGGAGCACGACATAGGCCACTAACCAAAAGCAGATTGTGAGTAAGGTCACCGTAAATAGGGTATTAGATTAGTAGAGTAGATGGGTGTAGAGTGAACGAAATGGTATCTCAAGAGAAAAAAACACAATATAGCAAGGAAATGGAGGGAAGGAATGGTCGTAGCGTGTTCATTCTCTGACTGGAGAGGCACGGACAGTAAGAATTCAGACGTTGCAAGGATCGACAGGGTGATATGTAAGGGAGACCGAAGCGGGGCCGGCGAATGTGTCGGGTATTTCGACGCACGAGACGGAAATAATTACTTACCAGCAGCGACAACGACGGCTCTGCCAGCACCAGCCTTCGCAGAGCCTCCACCGAGAGTGAGGATATAACGGAGCCAGCCGAATCGGATCTTGTTTCCGTTGCGATCGAAGTCGGGTGCAAGAGTGCTGGCGGCCTTGAACTTGCTCAGCTTACCCGCGTATGGCGGGTAGCGGATCGAGAGGATGGATTCGAGCCAGCTGGGTGTGCTAGTGATGGGACGACGGTGAACGAAGACGTCAAAGCTGGCCTTGCCACGGTAGGCGCCGTGGCCACTTTCACCGACACCACCGAATGGCAGGGTAGGGATATGCAAAGCCGCGTCGTTGACGGAGACACCACCAGAGCGAGTAGTAGAAAGAACTTGGAAAGCGTCAGACAATGTCAAGCAATAATAGAATGAAGACGTGCGAGAACATACCCTTGTCAGTATCTGCCTTAGAGCCGAACGGGTAAAGGCCCAGAGGAGTGGCCTGGATTCCATTGGCAATGTTGACTGCCTGTTCGACGTTGTCCACGGGCAAGATAGGAATCAAAGGACCAAAGCTTTCCTGAGTCAGCATCGAATCATCAACCGAGTCTACCAGAACCAAGGTTGGCTCGATGAAGCGCTCCTTTTCGTCCATTGTACCACCCATGAGAATTTTGCCCTTGGTATTGTCGAGCATTGACTTGATGCGGTGGAATGCACCTTCATTGATGATGCGAGAATAGTCTGGCGATGCCTTGGCGCCCTGAGGATAGAATTCATTATAAGCTTTCTTGAACTCCTCTATCACGGCAGGCACAAGGTCCTTGTCAACCAGCAGGTAGTTTTGAGAGGTACAGATTTGGCCGGAATTCATCAGTTTACCCCACAAAAGTCTCCGCGCAACGAGTCTGGGGTTGGCGCTCTTGGTAATGATGGCCGGGTTGATGCCACCCAGCTCCAGCACGACGGGGGTCAAATGAGGAGCGGCTGCCTTGGCGATGATACGGCCTACGGTGGCGCCACCAGTGAAGAAAATCTTATCCCATCGCTCAGCGAGCAAAGCTTGGGTCTCCGGGATACCTCCTTGAATAACAGTATAGCAGGACGGATCGAGGGATGCCTCAACGATGCGTTGGAGAACAACCGCACAGTTGGGCGCATTCTCACTAGGCTTAATCACAACAGTATTACCAGCTGCGATAGCGCCGATGACCGGACCGAGTGTCAATTGGAAGGGATAGTTAAAAGCGCTGTTTGGAATAGTGTATTAGTATGCTTCCGCAAGCGATGAGTTCGGGGCCTTTTGGGTTCGGATTATAAGGGGCGCCGGGGGAAACTCACCCAATAACCAGAACACAACCCAATGGATCCTTCCGAATCTTAGGACTCATGAATTTGAAGGACAAATCAATATCTTCGGCTTTCTCATCCTTGGCCCACTTGTGTAAGTTTCGCGTCACGAACACGATGTCATTCTGCAGCCATCCACTCTCAGCGACCTCGGTTTCGAAGCGAGGTTTACCCAAGTCCAAAGCGGAGGCATCGGCGATCTCTTGCTCATGATCCTTGACACTGTCAAAGCAAACCAAAAGGTGTCAGCCATACTATGCATTGTGCAGCTTATTGCCGACAGAGAAAAAAACCTACGCCCAGTAGAGCTTCCGAAGCTGGACCAGTCGAAACTCAAGGTCGCGAGTCTTATGTTCCAGGAAAGTCTTACGCAGGGTAGACACGCGACCCGGAATATCCTCGACGGGCGTGAACTGAATCGGGGGGATGTTCGAAGCGACCATGGTGGTAATCGTTGGTAGAAGGGAGAGGACGGGGAGTGGCGTCGGAGAAATGATGCGGAGGCGGGAGCACCCCTAGTACTAGTTACTAGTAGAAATTATCGCTTTGCCCTGGGAGCTTCCAAGGAGAGACGATAGACGGAATGGGATATCTCGGGAGCCAAGGGGAAAAAGAAAATCATATATAAGTTCATTCTTATTCTTGATTACGCAGATGGTCGACTAGACTAATCGAAAAATAATACATTCAAAGTCACATCAGCACCCACATGATCCTTTCCCCCCTCATCGGCAGTGACAGCTGGGCCGCGGCATTCCTCCTCCCCTGGCCATAAAGTTGGGGTCGGACGAGCGGTTCCGCACCATTCACCATTCGAGAACGAACTCCCTTACTAAGTTGAGGACTGACAAGGCAGTTATCAAGACTGGTTTTAATATTTCCTCGGCTTATTCTCAACTCAGGGTGAGGACCAAGTGTGTCCAGCTACGGAGGACCACCACCAATGACTTCTTCTCCACGACATTTTAGCTCATCGTTGTCATTCGGTTTAGGTAAGGATCGGCATTATCTGGCCATGCGATCGACGGAACCTCGCAAGGAGTTCTCCATTGGGCGTCTGCTCCAAATCTCCGAAACAAGACTATGACAAAGTACTCTCTTGACAGACTCCACCATAACGATGGCATAAAAATAAATAAATGCACGTCCATTTCAATGCTTATTCAATGAGCCAGGTCCAGCCCTCAACCTATATAAGCTCGTTCCTGGTCTCGGGCTGACACTAGCGTCCGATGTTTCAAGTTCATTTTGCTGTTCACAGGACCTATCTATGACTATCGGTGGAATCAAAGACCGAAAACAACCTGTCCCAACCCCGTCAGATAGCACGATTAAGAGAGTCTTGTTTTGACAAATCCCTCGAGATACTCATCAGGTCAAGTCTTAAGTCCGACAGGCAGTCTCGAAGATTAGAAATTCTCTAAGGACTGGAGTGACAATCTCATAAGTCGAGCGACAGGGATGGTTCAAGTTTGATCACTAATCTCGAGCCGAGCCAGAAGATTCTCCCGCCAATAATCATCTCCAAGTGGGGAGTCTGGTCGAGTCTGACGGCACTTGGTACTTCGTAAATGATACTACCATTGAAAGCCAGAAAAAGAGGCAAGTCTTCCGTGTTATTTCCTTTGGAGGGTAGTCGACCGCGGTCTCGCGTTGTCCGCGGATCCCATTTTCGGAGTCCGCGGGTCAGGCAAGTCAGAGGTCTTTTCGGTTGGTGGCGGGCGCCGAAAGCCACTTTTGCGAATTATGGTTGTGAAGGCGCGGGTGAGTAGTAGAGATAATGGTACTGCTGATTGAGCTAATAGGAGAGGCGGATGTGGTTGTAAGATGAGAGGTACAGTTAAGCACATCCCATGATATGACCCTGTGGAGAAGGCCACATGTATGGTGATACCAGTTCGCTGGGTAGGCTTAGTCGATCTGTTATTTGAAATGCACGAGATTGTTCAGCCAGATTGACGTATGTTGATCTTGGGTATCTTCGTGCGAGACTCCACCGGCACCTTGGATCGAGCATTGGCCATGCATACAACGCAGATCAACACAGACTACTTCTTCATCCGCTTGTAATGACCCTCCCAGGGGAAATAACGTGCTGAAGGGCCATCTGCTAGCAGCCTTTCATGCCATGAGGATATCGCGAATCGGGTGACTCCGTATGGCATGTTCAATATGAAAGGGGACTGGCGTGGTGGCGGCGTAGTTGTGTCAATACTGCGTTTGCTGGGCATATACCTCAACGTTGAGGTTGGAGAGCCGGGGACGAGTGAGATAGACACTACGAGACTATAAGATGCCGTATAGAACCCGTACCCCAACCCGGAGCTATCCTAGGGTATCACTGTATCAGTCACTTTAGTTTCAGCGCCAGCCCCCTTAGGGCTTACAGTGTAGACACCAGTGTGGGTCACCACGTCCTAAGTATCTGGGTACGCATGGTTGTAACTTGTCAGGCAAGTGATTATTAGACCCATTATGTTCAAGGCACCAACATCTCCTAGTCCGGTGTCTCCACCATGCCTATGGGCAACGATTTGCGCCTACTTAAACCAGGCCCGGATCTTGCTAGACTAGTGCTAGTTCGGCTGGCATGGCTGAGAGCTGTAGAGTGCTTAGGGCCCGTCCCTCTAGCCTACCGCATCTACTAACTTAAATACAACGACCGCTGGTTAGAATACGATCAGTTCCCATACATTTCACCCGCCATCTACCGTGGCAGGGGTAAAGAAGAATGGGTCACTGAACAGTGGATGTGCTCTTTACAGACTTGTGAAGCTCTGGAAGGGCATATAAAATGGAATAGCTCTAATGAAGACTTGAACAGAATTCATCAGAAATGTCTCTACTCTGCATGGAGAATACACACCACTTCTGTGTACCAGAGTATAGATCTATATACTCGAGTCCAGAACCACTGTGCCGTCGCAGGAATGCTATAGCTACATCGATCACTTAGAAAAAGTAAACTGAATGAATACTAGTGTGATTGCCTGGAGAGAAATCCCACTTTGATGTGGAATTAGGGCAAATTCAACTTAGACTGCTTATCATTCCCGATATCTCCGTATAGATGATCCATGAACTCTCCAGAGGATGGACCTCATATACCCCAGCAGAGCTTTAGTATCCCGAATAACGTCCCATAGTATAATCTCAAATACTTGTATCTATATTTCTATACATCAACAACATAAACAGCAAGATATTAAATGACCATCCCTATCCCTTCGCATATCCAGCAACCGGCCAATTATTCAATTCATGGTCAACCCCTCGTCATACAAGTGCATCATTGCGTGACCCAGGTTATCATCGCCTTCGGACTCCGGAAAACTGTAGTATGCAGGTACATTAGGGTAGAACCCAGCAAATAAATTTAAATCTTAGGACTGTTCAAGTATATAATCTCAATACGTAAAAGATGACGTCGCTTAGCAGCGGGTTCGAAAAGAGTATACATTCACATGCTGGGTATGAACTATTGACAGGGATCAATGGCTGGAGACGGCTAGCCACGGTACGCCGCGGGGCTGGCAGAATTTTTGAACACTTTCCGAGGTCGTTCGTCGCATTGTGTATCTTTTGGAGGGTGCTTGTATGGGATTTTCCAATGCTCAGAGCTTAGCTTTAACTAGCTATAACAAATATACATAGATATTACTTTGTTTGAATCAATTATTACGCTGATATAGCCTGGTTTCATGGAGATAGAAGGGGGTGCGATTTACGAGTAAAGAGCCGTTTTCAAGCTTTGAGGTCCAGAAGGCCTCACTAGCGCGGATCTATCTCAGACCGCCTTTCTCTTTAGTATGGAAATACCGCCAAGGATACGCACTCTACCGAGGTACTACGAATGAGCTTGCTGCACGAAGAAAAAGAAGAATGCGATAACTAGATCATGCTATGAAAAAATCGATCCTTTTGTCAAGGGAGCTACAATCTATACATCAAAAACTCCTAGTGGGTACTCAAAGTCGGCTAAAAACACAACAAAATCATCAAAAGCGGTTTGTGAGCTTAAGCTCAGTGCTTGAACTGATCTTCCGTCACACCCTTGCCCATGGCCGCGGTGCTGCTAACACCGCCGGTGACCATCTTCAGGAGGTTATCCACGTAGTTGGCACCACTCCATTTCTGGTGGGTAACCACGTCGACTCCCTGTTCCATCTCCGGCTCTTGGACCAATTCACCGTAAGCGCGCATGCCATGCTTGGAGTAGGCCTTGGCGAACTGGTCAGAGATGAGGGCGGTAGTGTGCAGACCAGCGAGGGTGATGAACTGCCAGCAGTAACCCAGAGCACCCAGGCGCTTGATGTAAGTCTCCTGCTCATCGCGGGGCATGGCCTTCTTCCAGTTGAACGAAGGCGACAAGTTGTAGGAAAGTCTAAAAGTTCTTCGTTAGCATCTAATACCGTAGGCGCTCAAGTGATGCCGGTCTACTTACTTTTGCTCGGGCCAAACCGCGTGGATACCCTCGGCAAACTCCTTAGCCTGGGCATAATCGGGGAGCTTGCTCTCCATCCAGATGAGGTCGGCGAATGGAGCGTAAGCAATACCACGGTTGATGGCACACTGGGTGCCACCCTGGAGCCGGTAGTAGCCCTCACGGGTACGAGGAGCATCCCAGTTCCAGTAGATGTCCTGTCCAGTGATGTTCTTGGCGATCGCGCGAGCGTCAAGGTTGCTCTTGCCCTTGGCGGCCTTCAGGTATTGATCAATGAGGGCTTGCTTGTTAGAGTGGGCACCCTTGTTGATGACCTCAATGACGGCATCGTTGAAAAGCTTCAGGCCAGCCTGGGCAACCCACTGGTCCTCGATAGCCTGCAGCTCGTCTCCCTGTTTTCCAGCTTGTTCGGCAGCCACCATGAGATCTACGAGAGGCTTAAGGTTGGGGTTGGTGGAGCCGACGATGAAGGCATGGTCGCGGTGATCGATGGTAGAGGTGATGAGAGTAGCAGCTTCCGCGTCGGTTCTAGCAATGGCAAGAAGGTCGGTGCCTAGGGATAATCAGTGGACAAGTTCTTTCTCTACTTTGAAAATCACAACAAGGACGGGAACACATACCCATGATATCTGCCTGCGCACGGATGGCGACCAAACGGTTGATGTGTTCGCTAATGGGCACAAGAACCTTTCCAGCCATATGGCCACACTTCTTGGTACCAGGGGCCTGGTCCTCAATGTGGATACCGGCAGCACCGCGCTCAACAAAAAGCTTGGTCAACTTCATGACAGCGGTCAAACCACCGTGTCCGGTGTCAGCGTCAGCATGATGGGACGCATGTAGTCAACGTTTGCCACATTTCCGCGCTTCTCCTTGGGTGTCGTGATCCGCTCCTCGCGCTGTTTCCGGTCATGGAACAGCTGGGCCATCCAGAGCTGGTTTACCTTGTTTGGCACAGTGTTCTGGTCCAATTAGCAAAGGGGCTATTTAATTCAACATGTTCGAATCGAGCAGAGCTTACCATGGGGTAATCAGCAAGATCGGGGGACGGCTCATCGGTGGAGGAAGCAGTGGAAGAGCTCTGCCAGCCAGAGACATAGACGGTGTCAAGGTACTTTGCCATCTGGGTGACCATTGTGGGTTCGAGACAGCCGTAGGTGAAGCTAGCAACTTTGTTCTAAACGACCAGGTATTAGCTACTGTTCCGACTTGTTTCGGCTTGAAGAAATACCTCGAAGTTGCTCTCCAAAATTTTCCAAAGCTTCTTGCTCTGGACATTCGACGGGTACTCAATCTTTAGGTTTCCACGCTTGGCCACAATCTGCTCTGCTGAGAAAGGGCGCTTGGTGTGTCGCCATCTGGAATCGGTCCACCAGGCCTTGACGGCCTGGACGTCGTCCTGGTACTTCTTGTCCTCGTCTTCGAGATAACCCATGGTGATGAAGATAGTAAGGGGTTTTTAAAAGTGGGTAGATATAGAAATAATTGCAATAATATAATACAGTAGGTACTATGATATAGTCCCCTTGTCTGATCGGAATATAGATAATCAGAAAGAATGAAAATCAAGGGGGAGAGAGAGATTAAAAAAGAGTCTGCTCTTCAGAAGCTCTAAATGAATCACCAGGCCAAAGCCAAGGTACTTATTGAGTTGCATGCGCCATGAAAATGCGTCAGAGGGCTGGCCTGCGTCGGTAAACGCTCGGCTCAGCGGGACAAGAAGGAATGTCACAGAGCTCCGGCTTCGCGTCAACCGGGGGTAAAGTTACTGGGATCTTCTGGAGTCACCATTGGACTAGGTTTACCGTAAACTAAATTCACAAGCCAATGCCGATGGTCGGGCACGGTGACTGGTGCTGTGTTCGGAAGAGAGGATCGAGACTTTGGGAAGATCCTCGGTCTAATGGGACCTCTGATGTATTCGCCACTATGAGTATCTGCAGGCCTTATAATTCAACCACCCCAATAGGAATCGTTCTGAGATCGCTGACCGGGCATTGACTCATACCTGTATAACGGAAGATGCCCCTTTTTTGAAGCAATTGATTGTTTTGTTGAAGATACACAACGGAATGCATTCCAATCACTCTGAACTACTGTAGTTTAAAGAAAGTTAAGATGACGTCGAAACATGTGCTTATTCTAAATAACCGTACGTGACAATACATGCCAGGCAAAAGGGTAACCCCTTCTAGTAATCTTCCGTACTCTACATTACGCAAAACCAGCTATTCTGAGTCATCAGGACTCCGGGGTAAAAACAACTCTCCCCTTTCTCTCTTCCCCACAACCACGCATTAGTAACTGAACAACAAGGATCACATCAACGAGATTGGTCGCTTGAATTCTAGATCCCTGATACTTCAGCCTTCATGGATGACTTTTATCCATCGGTAATTTAGCCTACACTCCGCGGGTGTTGCGGAACTGACTTCCAAATTCGATATCGATACAAGCAATATCGGATTAGGCCCAGAGAGGCAAGTACCTCGGTAGTCAACACACCAATCACGAGCGCCCGTGGTCTCACTCTTGAGATACACGAGAATGGCCTCGGGTAAATAAGGAGCTATTTTCGTTTCGGTGTTGACTCGAGGAGTGTCTCGTGCAGGGATCATAGCCAGTATACGGTATATAAATCTTCGGACGTTGGCCGAAGAGCCATATCACTTTAATAGAGGAAGCGGGAGAGGGATGAGCTTGGTGAGGGGGTTTCTGGAAAATCCCTCGTATAGAACGAATGATATAACCTGAAACCTGGAGTGCAGGTCGATGGCGAATTCACATGCAGGAATTAATATAATCTCCATTTGTAGATGTCTTGGAACAGTACTAGTACTAGGTACAAATGCATGTGTCAATGTGAGATATCGTCATGTTAGAGAATTAAATGGTCCGTATTCGGCGTGATACAGAGATCACTTGCGGACGCTGCCTGACCGAGCTCCTTTACACCCTAGCACACAGCCTTCACTCAAGGTCCTTGTCTAAGCGTGGTACTGTACCCTGTGGAAATCTGGATATTGACACTGCTGTTGTTCAGAGTATCAGGGATAGGATCTGCTGAACATGAAGGATACATCTGTCTCTAGATCAGAGACCCTATTGGCATGGTGCGGAAGGGAATAATAACGCGATGTGTCGCATATCGTTCATGGAAATCTTTCCTTGCCAATCCATCTACCTTACTAGTAAGCGCCGAGACATACCCCACAGGGCTGAACACCATCGCACAGACCAATAGAAATGGTCCGCCGCTACGGAGTACATCTCAATCTGGAACACATTCGAGCTTCCATGCTGGGAAACAGACTCCTGGAAAAAGCCTGTTATGTTGGATGGAGCACTCATTTTCAGCTCGATATATTTCACGGTGTTGGAAACAGTGCCTCCATGCGTTCGTACAAGATGGGGAGACTGCCTGTTCTAGCAGGCATAAGAATGCTACGTTGATTTTCCTTGTCGATGGACTAGTCTACGATAAAAGTGCGTAATGATGCATACCTTTCTTATGTGCGATGCCAATTCTCAAACAAGAGAAATGCTTTGGTAACCCATACCATGTTCGCGCATTGACCAGTCAGTGCGTCCAAACTGGTTATTTCAACACAATCGATATTTCTGTGGGATATCGGTCGAGCCCCGAATACTTCTATAATCGAGCTACTGCCACCTAACAGGAGATTTTGTTTGGCAAAAGGCATGGGAAGCAACCCTAACCCGTTTGAAGGGAATCATCCGCAGTGCCTATGGTCGATATGATCGGGCCCTACCGAAGCCGGAAAACTAGAGGTCTCGATGAGGAAGAACCTCACATCCTTCTCCAGTGCCATGGGCGGCACGACAAAGGGGTATCTGGAGGAGAATTGAATTCTCGTTTGAAAATGAGTATCTGATGAGAAAGACGTTTATAACAGAACCCGAGTTTCGCGACGACGAAGGCTATAATCGTATGTGGACTTGCATGTGTGGCTGAGATCATTTCATAAGCGCGTTATAGTGCTCACCGAGACCGTACGTATGCCGATAGTAGGCCAGCCAAATGATACGTTTGCTCTTCTGTTCCTCATCATACTCTTGAGTATCGCCTTCGATCTTTTCAATCCTTCCGTCACCTTGTATGACGTTGATTTCCACGCCATATGCCCTAGCAATCGCTAATAGCTCCAATTGCCCACCCCACTCTGCTGTAAGCTTGATCTTGCGAGTGTATAGTTCCAAAGGCTCCTCCATGAAGGGCACAAAATCATCCTGGTGCTCGTTTATGAAATCGGCCGTCACTGCCCTAACTGCTCTATAGCCATCGTGTTGAGGCGAAGCTACCGTATCGATGCGAGACTGAGTTGGGGTCTCAAGAATGATTCTTTTTGGGTCAGGTTTCAAACCAAGGCCTAGCATTTCCAGCTGGTAGGCAATAGCGGAGTAGAGACAGTGCCCATCGGGCTTTATCTCGACCTGCTTCAACCCCAACCGTTTAAAAACGCCATCCATAACCTCTTGCTCATCTCCACGATGATTTGTTTGTTTTGCGGCTTCTTTCGCGGCAATGGCAGACTGCGCCGCTTGCTCCGCAGCGCGACGTGCCAGACGAGCCTTCTGGCGGTTTGGTTTCTTCGGTCGCGGTGACGGGGCGGAGGACTCTGAAGTTGCAGAGGATGTATCTGGGGAATTGTCTATCGATGGGGGGTTCTGTGTACCATCGGTTTGGTCTTTCTGTGTTTTATCTTCTTCCGAACCATTCAAACTGAGATCTTCCAGGTCATCAATGGGCGGGGCAGGCTCGCCATTTAACTCTGCAATCTCGGCCTGGTGTCGTTCGGAAAGTTCCCTCTGAAGCCTATCGCATTCTTCGTTAATTCCTCGGCGGGTTTTCTTCGTGGCAGATTTCTTCTTCTGAGTGATACGTGCTTGGAGATCTTTTTGCTCCTTGCGGTGTTTCGCTAATAACTCCTCCATTATTGTTGGGGATAAAAAGCAAAAGCAAATTTATCGGTCTAATTGGAAATCAAAATGAGAAGAAGAGAAAAAAATGTTTTTGAAAAGAACGCAGGCTATGAAACTGTGCGAAATGTTGTTGTTGCTACCCCATCTCAAGATCTAACAGAACTGTTACAGCCCCGCAAATCCTTTGCGGGCTGGCTGCCCTAGACGGCATCCTAAAAAGGTATAGCGCATCGAATGTGCTGTTGGTTCAACACCAACTTGGAGTGTTCATAATCCAATATCAAGATTCAAGCTGTGCCCAAGAATTCCGACAAGATATTCTTGTAATTTCATTGAGGGGTTATCATGATCTTTGATTTTTGGGCTGATTGACATCTAGAACGATGTCAATGATCGCATTAACGTTTCTCCTGCGCCGGAGGTCGTACAGCCTCGGTATCTTCCGCTCAGTAATCTCGGCCGTCGGATGCTAGGAGCTTTAAGTAGTAGGTATGGCACAAAAGTCCATCTACTCCTGGATATCCTTGACATTACCCAGACTGCACCCACCTTGAACATATACTGAACTCTATTTCTATACAACACTTCGATACTTCATTAGCAGTTTGGCAATTTTGAGTGTTTAGTGCTGTTATCATGGATTCCCAAAACCTTTTCGATGTGAAGGTCAGTTATGAAACTCCAAGAAAGCCCCTGAACCCTTACTGAACGCTGTAACTAGGGCAAAGTGGTGCTGGTCACCGGTGGAGCCAAGGGAATTGGTCGCATGATCTCAGAAGGATACGTAGCCAACGGGGCCACCGTTTACATCTCGTCTCGTGATGCCAAGGCCTGTGACAAAGCCGTAAACGAGCTCAATGCGCTCGGCAAAGGAAAGGCACACGCCATCCCCGCCGATTTTTACAAAGAAGAGGATGTTAAGAAATTGGCTGAAGAGCTTGGAAAGCGCGAGAGCAGTACGTTCTTGGCTAACGCCACTCAGAGATCGCATCCGGCTGGGCTGCCGTCCTGAAACTAACTAATTTACTATTCAGAGCTGCATGTTCTTGTGAACAACTCGGGATCAAACTGGGGTGCTCCTTACGATGAATATCCTTCCTCTGCTTGGACTAGAGTTCTCACTCTGAACCTCCACCGAGTCTTCGATCTGACGAGGCTCGTTACCCCCCTGCTGGAGAAGGCAGCCACTTCGGGCGACCCAGCCCGCATCATCAATATCGGTAGCATCGATGGTCTTCGGGTCCCAGCACTTGAGACCTTTGCTTATAGTGCCAGTAAGGCCGGTTTGCATCATCTGAGCCGAGTCCTTGCAAACCACCTTGGTAGAAGAAACATAACGTACGTGTTATTTCTGATTTGATAAAACGCCCACTAATAGAGCCACCTACAGATCAAACTCGCTGGCTTGCGGCCCCTTTCAGAGTAAGATGATGGCTGCCACCCTTGAAACATATCGGGAGCAGATCGAGGGCAATATTCCACTGGGCCGTATTGGTACCCCCGAAGACGTGGCCGGTGCTTGCTTATTCCTGAGCAGCCGTGCTGGTTCGTATGTGAATGGAGCCACTATCACCCTGGACGGTGGTAGCGCTATTGCTGCCAAGCTGTAAGATCTAGGCTAGCTGTAGTACATATCAAGAAATATTGACGCCACAATCCTGTGATGAACAAGATAGCGTCCTGTTACAGAAGGTTTAACCTAAAATTCCATTTGCATATCGATGAACCATTTCTTTTCTTTTTCTGAATCTTCACCTGCAGGCATATGTACAATGTCCATGCAGATTAAACTTCTAGCCAGACACGTTTTTTTTAGCGGGCGTCTACCAATATACTGCTGGTATTAGTAAATGCTGAACCCTATTGACATCATCGAGCATCTACATCGCTCTGTGCGCATACTATCATGACATAACAGTGTCAACTGAACGGCGCCACATATGCCATAATTGACGGAAGTTTGCGGCAAGTATCGCCAATCTGCCATGAATAGGGAAAAAAGCATATTCATTTGGGATGGCAAGCCATCAGCCCTTCTGATATTAAGATCGACTTACGGATGACTTCGTTTCGAGCTGAAGTGTCAAGGTGGCTGTACGGGATGTGCAGCGGATTTGTTTTGAGCTCGATGAAAGTACTGGCTCAGAAAATTCCCTCTTATATTGCTAGCGATCATCCTCTGGGGTCCGATCTAAACCAGAGCGGCGGATCGCGTGGGGTTGAGGCTCGCTGCAGTCGCAATTGGTCTGGATTAATCCCTCAATCTGATACTACTTACTTAATACAATTCCCTGGTGCGTTTCACGTGAGCCGTCATATTATTTATTGTAATATAGATCTATATGCTATTTAAACCTCAGGACATCGAAGAATTCCCCATGGCCCTGTGCTGCGCTTTTGGTTGCAGCAGCTTCACCCTCGGCGATTCTGTCCCTAGTGTGCCCTAATTTCTGAATATCGATCGCTCCAGCATCAATTGCTTTCAGTCAACATGTGGAAGCCGCCGGTGAATTTCATCACCTTGCATTGTATGTCGGAAGGTTCCGAAGGTGTTTTTGTAAAATACTGACTTACTCGCTCACGAGCGTAGATACATACATCATTCTCTGCAGCCTATCGGGGATAGTTATACTTTACCCCTATGGTAATTTGCGCGCGATCGATGCATTCTTTTTCGGAGTCAGCTCTGCCACGGTGTCAGGACTTAATGTGTTGGTCTGACCGTTTCCTATAATATTTGAAGAGTGATTACAGAGAAGAATGTCGCTGAGCAACTCTTCGTTCAGTGTGGATCTAAAAGACCTAAAAACATACCAGCAGCTGTTTGTATACTTCATTCCCACCATTTGCAACATGTGCTTCACCAATATCCTTGTGGTGGTCGTGCGACTCTATTGGTTTGAGAAACGTTTGAAAGAGACAGGTACTTGACTGGCTCTTTGGTGCTCATATCGGGGATGTACTGAAGCGAATCATCTGATAGCTCCCACTGCCTTTCGCCCAAGTTCACGTTCAATAAATCCTAAGGCATATGACTATGACCAGGAGGCACAACCCAGAAACCTGAACACCAGCCGTGTCCGGGACTCGGAACAGACTGCCAGAGAGAAGCCCAATGTGGACAATGAGCACGTGGCAGGCTCGAGCAAAAGCCAAACAGTGCCAGAAGAGTACGTGAAACCCGTCATTGCTTTGTGTTTATAGCCCTTGGTGTAAAATTTACTAAACTTCCGATCTTACAAGTAGCCTAACTGACTCGAAGCCTCCAGATGGCCCGGACTCAGATATTATTCAGCCAACTAACCGTCGCATCTCCTTTGCGGACAACAACAAGGCTCTATATATTCCATCTCCACGAGAACGTGATAGAGGTAAGGAATCTTACTTTTGTCCTGATGACCAAATCGATGCTAAAAACAAAGGCCAGCCTATAGTAGAGGTAGACGAAAGAGCAAGCAAAGATGGTACGTCGGCTTATTCCTTCTGTTTGGCAGGAATGATAGACAAATGGCTCATCGACATCAGAGATATCGGAATATGTCGAAAACGACGACGCCAGGTCAGAGATTCGCCGCCGATTAAGGGACACTTCTAACCCGCTCGAACGGGTTGCCTCCTCCCTGTTTGTGCTTGGTTCACAGCCTAGCAAGACTCAAGGCTCTCAGCTTCGCGAAGCTGTCTCCCTATCTAAGAGTTCGAATCTTCCGAGTATTTCAGCAGAAGCTACCCTTGGCAGGAACTCGAAATTCTATAACCTAACTGCTCAAGACCGGGAAAGGTTGGGAGGTATAGAGTATCGGGGTCTCAAGATATTGCTCAAAACCGTGCTAGGTACCGATACTACCCTTGAAGAAGCTATCTAGAGGATTAGACTAACTCTAAAGTAGGGTACTTTTTCGGCCTTCATCTAATTGGTGCAATATGTCTAGTAGGTTGGATACAGTATGCTGCTCCTAAGTACCGGGACTACCTAAAGGAATGTGGGCAGAATCATATCTGGTGGTAAGTGCATCACCGAGCAGTATCATGCCTCATATTACCAACCAGGATCATGGGACTGTTTGAAGGATTCTCCCATGGCATTCTGGCACGGAATTCAATAGCCTAGTGTATACTCATATATGTTCACCTTTTAGGGGGTTTTATGCGGCGCAAACGATGGCAAACAACCTGGGGTTCACCCTCACCCCAGACTCCATGGTCAGCTTCCAAGACGCAACTTTTCCCATGCTGATTATGACCTTCTTAGCATATGCTGGTAATAATCTATATCCTGTTTTTCTGCGTCTTATTATATGGACTACGTACAAATGTACTCCAAAGAACTCGTCGCTCAGAGAACCCTTGGATTACCTCTTGAAGTATCCTCGCCGATGTTATACGCTGCTCTTCCGCAGCAAACCAACTTGGGTTCTCTTTGGGATTATCTTCGTCTTGAACTTCGTCGACGTTCTCTTGATCGTTGTGTTGGATCTGCATAACCCCGCCGTCAACACCCTTTCCGGAGGACCGCGAGTGCTGGCCGCCATCTTCCAAGCCGCATCAGCAAGGCATACGGGGACATCGAGTTTCAACCTTGCCGATGTAAACCCAGCCGTCCAATTCAGCCTACTCGTCATGATGTACATCTCTGTATTCCCTATCGCTATTAGTATGCGTGCGTCCAATACCTACGAAGAACGTTCACTTGGAATGTTTTCCAGCGATGGCGAGGTCGACGAGAGTAGTAATACTACGACTTACGTCTTGTCCCACGTGCGAAACCAACTCAGTTTCGATCTGTGGTACATCTTCCTTGGGATATTCTGTATCTGCGTTGCCGAATCGAACAGGATCATGGATCCTTCTGAGCCGGTAAGGTCGTCTTCAATGTTCAGATATAGAGCAAAGGTTGATGAAGAACAGGGGCTCACTGTCTTTGCCATATTCTTCGAGGCTATTTCTGCATAGTAAGCTACTGGGCTCCCGAGACTACTCCAGAGAGGTGTTAATGTTTTATAGCGCAAATGTCGGCCTCAGCTTGGGCTATCCGGGCGTCAATACTTCTTTGAGCGGGCAGCTGTCGACTTTCAGTAAAGTCGTTGTCTGCCTTATGATGATTCGAGGAAAGAACCGCGGACTACCCTATCAGTTAGATCGGGCTATTCAACTTCCCAACGAAGGCTTGGTTGATGACCAAGTGGATTCTGGGTCAGACAATCTGTATACGGACGGCAAATTGGATCCGATGGATGTCCGAGACCTGAAAGTGAAACGGCATCACACCAAATAGCATCGGTTTTGGATCACACGACGATACATCGCCCGAATAGACACCTATACATGTTTTAGAGCGAATGGATTCTGATAGACAGCAAAGAATTACCACTTGGTGGCCTACGATCCCTCCCCCTTGACAGTAGAGCGATGAAACCTGGCTAACTAGTGTAAGCGAAGCACTTAGTAAAGGAAATGTATTGTGTAAGGTAACCCAAGGGAGAATAAAGGAATTCGATAGATAAGACTAAAGGAGCGCGTGATGTCGTCTGACTCCAATAGTGCTGAATCTACGAAGCAACGTGAAACTTAGAAAGGCCGAGATAAGAATGCACAGATAATAAAATTCTCGTGCCCGTTGGGAGGGGTTGGCCGTGCGAATAAGTATCAGCTGCAAGTTATGATTAAATTAATCAATGGAAGAAAGCTTCTGTCTTTGAATTTTTATGGGTCGGTGGAGCGATGACATTGGGTATGCCGTCATACCCTTTCGGCTGGCACTGCTGCTCTGCTGGTTGAACTGGACGGTTTCTTTCTGGAAGATACAACTTGGGTACTCCCTTAAAATCAATCACGAGTCAGGAGGAGCACGGGATTTTTCTGTTTTCATCTTTCCTACACCGCTATGTCTTGGGAAAAAGCAAAGGGGGAGAAAGAGTCGTCCCACGGAGGAAAGATTCTCGAATAGATTTCAATAGATTCATTCCTTAGTGTTGTGACGTCGCAGGACCCATTTAAATCCTACTAAAAAAGGATGCCAACAATCGCACTAGAGCTGTGGCCAATTTGCGAAGAGATGCCTATGAATTGTTTTTTATTCCTGAATCAATCGCCTTCACCTTCAACTTCTTTGTCCAACTCTTTCCTATAGTTACCGGTCCTAGTTACTAAATACCAAACGAATTCTCGAACGACCCGTTGGATACCGCCTGAACGCCACAATACCGACCTTGCGTGTCCATTGGTTTTGCTCCGCCAAACATCCTTGTTCTCCCGAAACCCTTTCATAATACTTTCCCCCCCGATTTCCCATTGCTCTCTTCCCTCCCTTTCGATCCTCCCAGAAATCTGTAGACGATGAGCTCGTCAAATGGGAGCCACCGCAGACAGGACTCCATAGATCCCTTTTCTCATCCCGACATCTATTATGGTGACGAGGAAGCCAACGCGCGCATCAAGGATCGCAGACGTGCGTTCTCAACGGTGAGTAGGGGACCCCGGAGTTAAGGCCAACCATGTCAACTAACCATCCCGGGTGTGTATGACAGAACCTGAACCAATTCAATCGCCAAGATATCCAGAATTTCCTTGGGGGAATTCCGGCAAGAAGAGGAAGTCACGGTAGGTGCTTTTCTCTTATCTGTAGCGACCCTGAGTCAGGTATACTGACGCACGTGGTCTACAGATGAGATTTCGGCTCAACCCCGCAAATTCCTTATTGATGTCGAACAAACGTTGGAGAGCCTTTTGGAAAGGGAGGATACGGACAGGAACATGCAGATAACCATTGAGGATGTAGGACCCAAGGTGCGTGGTTTGGTGATCCGTTGAGCTGCCCTGCCCCGCCATGCCAATAGTAACCCGCGATACAGGTGCTTTCCCTCGGGACCGCAGCGTCTTCCGGATACAACAAATTCGATGTGCGAGGAACGTACATGCTTTCCAACCTCCTGCAGGAACTTACCATTGCTAAGGACTATGGCCGCAAGGTCATTGTCCTTGACGAGGCTCGTCTGAGCGAAAACCCGGTCGCTCGTCTCTCTCGTCTCATTAAGAATTCTTTCTGGAATGCCCTGACTCGGCGGATCGATGGTTCCAATATCGAGGTAGCGGGTCGAGATCCCAAGGATTGGACGGACGATCCACGACCCCGTATCTATGTCCCACCGGGTGCTCCTGAGCAGCTGGAGTATTACAGAGGGATTGCTAAGGCACACCCAGAACTTCGTCTGGATGTGCAGGTACTGGAGACAGATATCACTCCGGAGTATGTGAAGGATCTCAACAGTAAACCCGGTCTTCTCGCCTTGGCAATGGAGAAGAAGTACGATGAAACTACCCAGAAAATCGAATATTCCGGGGTGCCATTTGTCGTTCCTGGAGGACGGTTCAATGAGCTGTATGGATGGGACAGTTATATGGAGTCTCTGGGGCTGTTGGTCAGCAACAGAGTGGATTTAGCGAAGTCCATGGTGATCAACTTCTGTTTCTGTATTAAACATTATGGAAAGATCCTGAATGCCAACCGGTCCTATTACCTGCTACGCTCCCAGCCGCCATTCTTGACTGATATGGCTCTGAGAGTGTATGAGCGGATTAAGGGCGAACCCGATGCTCTGGAGTTCCTACGGACTTCGATCCTCGCTGCGATCAAGGAATACTATAGTGTCTGGACCGCCGAGCCACGGTTTGATCCAGTTTCTGGCCTGTCGCGGTATCGCCCCGAAGGGATGGGCGTACCGCCAGAAACTGAACCAACGCATTTCATCCATCTACTAACACCCTATGCTGAGAAGCATGGCATGCAATTTGATGACTTCGTTCAAGCTTACAATAACGGCCTTGTTAAGGAGCCGGAGCTTGACGAGTACTTTTTGCATGATAGGGCTGTCCGAGAATCTGGCCATGACACAAGCTACCGTTTGGAGAGGGTTTGTGCCAATATCGCTACAGTTGATTTGAACTCTCTCCTTTATAAGTACGAGGTGGACATCGCTCGTATAATCCGGACTTATTTCAAGGATAGACTAGAGATCCCCCCTGAGTTCCGTACTGAACAGTCGAAGGACATTGCAAGTGAGTCCTCATCTGTATGGGACCGCAGGGCCAGAAGAAGAAAAATGAGAATGGACTCCTATCTGTGGGATGAAGAAAAGGGGATGTATTTCGACTACGACACAGATAAGCAAGAGCGGACCAATTATGAGAGCGCCACAACCTTCTGGACAATGTGGGCAGGTCTCGCCACCCCTCAACAGGCGTCGGAACTGGTCAGCAAGGCCCTTCCGAAGTTTGAGGCCTACGGCGGCCTGGTTTCAGGTACTGAAGAATCGCGTGGTGTTATCAGTCTAGCTCGACCGAACCGGCAGTGGGACTATCCTTATGGATGGGCACCGCAGCAGATGCTGGCATGGACAGGACTGCTCCGCTACGGCTACCAGGAGGAAGCCGAGCGACTAGCATACAAATGGCTATACATGATCACGAAAGCTTTTGTTGACTTCAACGGCGTTGTCGTCGAGAAGTACGACGTCACTCGGCCTATTGACCCTCACCGGGTCGATGCTGAATACGGAAACCAAGGTGTAGATTTCAAGGGTGCACCTCGTGAAGGGTAAGATGCTTCTTGTCTTCAAGGCTCTCGATAGACATCTACTAACAGAGTCGACTTCTAGGTTCGGTTGGGTCAACGCCAGCTTTGTCTATGGGTTGGAAATTCTTAACGCTCACCAGCGGCGTGCCCTTGGGGCCATTACCCCATATGAGACCTACAACAAAGCTGTAGCAATCCAGAACGACAGCGAGTAGGTTCTTACGACTTGAACGTTGCATGAGGCACGTGTTGTTTTTGTTTCCGTTTGTATACGTTTTGCGGCCGTCATTGCTTCCGAAGGACCCGAAAAGTCGAGATTTTGGAGTCGGCAACAAAATTATACAGTTGTGATAGTATATAGTGCGGTCTCTTTAAATCTTCTCTTTTCATTTCTTTTTCTGATTTAAGTCATTTCTCTGGGGTTAAAGAAAAGAAATGGGATGGGAATAGAAACTGGCTTACTCCGTACACTTTGAGGGTACTTTTACGAGCTATGATCCAGCTACGAATGATACAGGCGCCAATTCTTTGTTTTTTTTAGCTTGGCGAATTTAACTTTTGATATATATATCTCGTGTCTAGCAACCGTTTAATGAAGCATTTTTGGGATCTCATTTCCTTTCGTTTGGGGGGTTTTCTTCTCCAACACACGGTAAATATGCTTGGGTGATAGATCCGGCTCTCGACTGTGAGATAGAAGATAGACATACACAGCCTTGACTGTTTCAATATAAAACCTAATGATTTAGTCTAATCTTGAAACGCTCCCAAAAACACAGATCCTAGCACAGATAAGCTCCAAAACACAAGCGTACGACGACAGTCGGCTACGACTCAAAAATCATCCATTCTATAAACACCATAGGAAGGCTGCTCATACGGATGAGCCCTAGAGAATGCACGAGACGAGATAAGCGAGAATAAACACCCTCCATGAGAATTCAACAAGGACTCACTTCTTCAGTGCCTCAACAGCTTTCCGGGCAATATCCTCACTAGCGCACAATGCCTCTACCCTGACCTCCTCCGTAGTCTCCAGTTCCCCCACCTTCCCAATGTGCGGATTCGCTGCGTCCCCAGGACGAAACTGGGAGGTGCCTGGAGTGGTCCAGCAGCACTCGTGTAGTTCCCTTGGCCGGGGTAACGGCCCGCACCTGCAGAAAAGATCGCTGTCTTGCAGGCTGGCACGGCGGAGGGGGGAGCGAAGAATACAAGTCTGAATCGGGGGGACATTTTTGAGCATATAGTGTGGTTAAGGGACTGGATGTAATGTTGAGGTTTCACGGTTGTGTTGATGTGGGGTCGTTGTCGTTTGGTCTGGACTGTTGGTGGTTAATGGGAATGCATAAGTAGCGATATTGTGGCTTTCTGCTATATTGGTCTTCTATATGAATGTGCGCCAATCAGTTGCGCTCTCTATTCCTGGTAACGGGTTTGGAATGGCAAATAAGATGCATGGGAAGTATAAAGAAGGCTTACCCCGTATATGATGATGGTGGTGGTGGTGGCAGGCCATTGGATCCTCGACTGTTGCTGTTGGGCACCGATGCAGACGGGACGGAGAGGGGGAACAGAATCCCTTGTTGTTTGTCGGGATAGTGCTCAAATGGCGTTTTGCATCTACCTTGGTAGCAGTTCATGGTTCACGTTCAAACAAGTGCCTTTAATTTTCATTGTGTCCAAGCCACTTGTGAAACATACATGCAGTATTCCAGATGGGGGTATGATTTTGGGACCGTCTCAAATGAGGGGTTAGATTCTATTTATGATATTATTGTTTACGGCATGGTAAAATTCTTAAATCAACTAACTGGACGCACTGAGTAAGGCCTGTGGTGAAGGCATCTGGGCGTTTAGGGCAATGTTCTCATTGGTCTTGAGAGGCTCAAAGGTCATTATAGATGAGCTACAGAGTATAACCGGCTGATCTACGGACACTACACTAGCTTTCATTGTAGGTTAATTCTTGGGTTCTGACCCTGGTGCCTGCCGAGTCTTTCTCTATTTGTTAGCTGCTTGATCTGCGACTTGAAGGGTTGATCCATGCCTAAGACGTATATTTGTGGGCTCTTCTAGTTTTTGTCCAACAATTTTTTTGATGATGACCGTGACTCGTATGATATTCGTCACCGGGAATGTTAGATCTACAAAATCAACCTTAATAAGAAGGGATTAGTCCAGCTTCCATGTTAAGAGCATTGGGATGGAGCTATAGTTAGCCGTCGCATGGTGTTCTTGATCTGAAAGGGGGTAAAGAAGGTAGAGGCAACTACATCCAGGTAAGCCATCGGCGTGTCTATAGTATATCCAACGTCTAAAGTGTTGTCCGGGGTAGGAATGCTTGACCTCGGTAAACATGGTCAGGGCGCAACAGAACCCGCAAGCGGGACCCGACATGGCTGCCGACTGGAGGGCCGGATGGAACGGCACGTCGTTACTTCATTATGACTGGATATCTTGACCTACATTCGGTTCCACATTCCTTTACTCCATTAATACTCTGGAGTAGGAGGAGAGGGTTGCCAGCAGCCATGAATTGCCCTATCCATGATTCTATACGGTGCTTGAATGACACCATAGAAACCTTCTAAAAGTTGTCACTTACCTAAAGTTGAATACTACTTTGCGGATAAATATCCGAAATTGGGTCAATATGAATCATACTCTAGAAATCCTCAAAACTCACCCTTGTGAGGGACCAGATACACCGAGACTGCAAAGACCTACCTACTCCGGGGTATAACGGCGCTAGGGTTATCAGAAATTTCAGTGCATACCTGCACTCCTGGAGATCAGCACGACCCGCGTTGGAGAGGGGTTTAGCATCGGCCATCTACACCTGCCTTTTTGATAATAATTGCTGATAAAAAAAAAAAAAGAAATATCCTACAAGCATTGCAGCTTCCAAATTCAATCAACTTTCTTTTTTTCTCCCTGTTTGCCTCTTCTAATCCTGTTGCTTCGCTCGTCTGTCTTTCCGCTCACCTCTTTTTCGATGTCCGAGAGGAGGATGATAATAGAGCATATCGCTATCCTTATATCTCGCTAATTAGATTTTCACGCTGCAAAGCGTTGACGCAGGCGTGTCATTTTATCTATTGCTCGCCGTTGTCTTTCTTTTTGGGCCGCTGTGAGGCTCAGTTGACTCCTTGGAATCATCGCCACCCTAGACGTGGCACACAGAGAGAGGTGTAACTGGCAAATTCAGCTCTTGATATGCGTCAACCATAATCAAGTCACATCTCTCCCCAAAAGTGAACTCTTTATTGAATTTATGCGCAAGACAAACATTCTCAAGATATCAGCAACGCTGAACCATGGAAAAAGAAGGCACATCTGCGGCTACACCGCCAGATTATGCTCCTAGAGAGCATGAGAGGCACACGATGGAACCACCGCAAAGGAATACCGCAGATACGGATAGTGATCTCCAGTCCATATCACCTGAGGACCGTCCACCTCAAGCATTTGAAGGAAAAGATGAAGAATGTCGCCATTCCTCTTCTTCGGGCACAAACCGCGATACTGCGGTTGTGGTGCCGAGGCCAAATCGCAGAGGACTCTTTGGGCAATTCACGCTCCTGGCTGAAGTTGAAAACCCGAAGACTTATTCTCGGAAGAAGAAATGGTTCATCACTTTCATTGTTGCGTGGGCAGGAGCCACAGCCCCGATGGGAAGCGCAATACTCTTTCGTAAGTCGATGCCCTTTTTATGTCGGTCTTGATGGGACACGGTTATTTACTGCGTCTAGCTGCCCTCTCTCAGGTCACCAAAGAGTTAAGCTCGACAACCACGGTGGCGAACCTTAATATATCTTTGTACATGCTTAGTATGTCAATTTTTCCATTATGGTGGTCATCCTTTAGTGAACGGCTAGGGCGACGGACGATATACCTTGTATCCTTTTGCCTCTTCGTGGTATTCAATGTACTCTGTGCTATTTCCAAATCGATGGCCATGCTTATTGTCATGCGGATGCTCAGTGGTGGGGCTTCAGCTTCGGTCCAAGCGGTCGGAGCAGGGACAATTGCGGACCTATGGGAATCTCAAGAGAGAGGCCGTGCGATGGGAATATTCTACCTTGGCCCACTATGCGGTCCGTTGGTGGCTCCTATAGTTGGGGGTGCTTTGGCTCAACGGTGGAAGTGGAGGAGTACGTTATGGTTCCTAGCAGCTTATGGAGGCATAACCGTCGCGTTCATATTTCTCGCCCTTCCAGAGACGTTGATATCAGCGAAGTCCCCTAGTCCCAATACAAGTAGCGAGCAACAGGAACCGATTGGGCGTCGGCTGAGCCGAGTCTCTTCCAGGCAGGTTGTGGGGTTCACCACAAAGTGGCTGAAGGTCCTCAAGATGGCTCTCATCGATCCTCTGAAAATTGTGCTTTATCTTCGATACCCACCAGTCTTACTAACGGTATACTACGCGAGTATCACTTTTGGCTCTCTTTATGTGTTGAATGTCAGCGTTGAACACACTTTCGGGAGCGATCCATACAACTTCACTACGATCCTTGTCGGACTGCTCTATATCCCGAACTCTTTGGGCTATGTTGTAGCCAGTACATTTGGAGGACGATGGATGGACAATATCATGCAGCGGGAAGCCAAGAAGGCACAAAGATATGATGAGAATGGCAATCTAATATACCACCCCGAAGACCGCATGCGTGAGAATGCCTGGCTGGGTGCTCTTTTGTATCCTGCTGCGTTGATTTGGTATGGCTGGACCGCAGATCGGGGTGTATTTTGGCTTGCGCCGGTATGATGTTCATTTCTTTTCCCCCTCTCGTATCCCGTGCTCTATGGCTAGAGGAACTAACGAGCTATTTCTGCAGATGATTGCAAATTTTTTCTTTGGTATAGGATCCATGCTTATTTTTAGCATGGCAACGACGATGTTGACGGAATTTATGCCCAAGAAGGCTTCCTCGGGGGTTGCACTGAATAACTTCATGCGGAACATCTTCTCCTGTGTCGGTTCTTTGGTAACAGCTCCTATTATTGACGCCATTGGTAACGGATGGTTGTTTACTATACTGGGGATTGTTGCCTTTCTAAGCAGCTCTGTTCTTTTCGCGATGAAGGTCTTCGGGCCTCGCTGGAGAAAGTCAATGGATGCACTCAGGCATTGACAAGATTCATGGAGTCCAGCTGTCTATTTGTGGGCCTTGAGAAGGCGTGGCATTCTAGAACTTTCCAAAAGATTATTCTTCTTCTCTTGTCCATTGTCATGTTAAGCTGTTGGTATGCATTGTCATAAACATGGTATGCATTCTGTATTTAGCAGCTACTTTTTTTTGTTGCAGGATCGTCATCGCTCACATCTCACTTCTTTGGAAGAAGCAAAACCAAGTACATAAGGCTGGAACTGTGGATATGTCACATGGTTGGTCTGGATAATCACTGTTATGCTCCCTGGACGATGTTGCTGTTTAAAGATACCCAAAGCACGATTCATGTTATTTTTAGAGCCAATGTGAAGGTGAATGTTGTGAGATACCTAAAATGGGAATGTAACCTGTTCCTGCCCTCTCATCATAGGCCCGTGGGACAACTCAGTGGGCAGCATCAAGTACGGAGTCTCCTGTAAATAGAGTTCATTGGGAGCAAAGGTAGCTGCCAAACGTGATTCACAATCAGTTCTTCCAATTTCCTCCCAATTTCCATCCCAGCGACTATACCGCTGTTTATTTCCCCTCACCCAATTCAGAGCCAGCCAACAGGGCGAGACAACGAGCACAATGGAGACAAATCTGACCTGTCTTAGTTTCGCTTTATTGTTGTCTAGGTGATGTTATTCAGTTATTGTACCCACATGCTGCCTGAGATGGATGTTCGAGGTGCATGAAATGGAGTCGATGATTCTCCTGTATATTCTCGATATAGATCGTGGAACTACGAACTAGGCCTATAACAGAAGCCACGCATTGACCCGAGAAGCGCTAGGGTAGCTCGGACCAAGATGGCGAAATGCGTAACAAAGCCAGAGGCCATTATTCTTCTGCAATAACTTACTGGCATGGTTCTCAGGGTCAGGCGATGGTACGCAAGGATTCATGTAAGGCAAAAGTACATATCTGGGCCGCTGCATTGAGCGCCGTGTGATGACGTTCGGGTTCTACACCTTACTATTGGCCCGTGAAGATCATCCCTATGCGATGAAGGTTCTCGACGGTGTCAGATTCTCCCTTACGCCGTGAACGCTCCGCAGCAGTGCCTCGCCCATGCATGTTACGTCAGGGCATCCATGATGCTTTGCACCCCATCGACCAGCCGGGCTCGACGGTACCGCAGAGATCTAGGGCAGTCGATTAGATGTAGCTGCTAGCTGTCCGACTCTGAATGGTAGCTTTAATCTCGCGGCGATAGATCTGTCGCGATGTGAAAGGGGCATTGGCCCGTCGAACGCTAGCTGTCCACCGTGGGATGGATCTCGATGAAGGCGTTGTCCACGGTGTGGAGGGGTTAGTTGCTAGCAGCTTCAATTCTTAGCCAAGGAACGTATCTAGTCTAGCGTGGTTGGTTTGGTACGTTCTCGAAATTTAGTGACTCTGTTTGTGATTCTTCCGATATCGATGGATCTGCTTGTGGGCGCACCGACAGCCATTCACCGGCCGCCAGAACAGCGCGCCTCACTTTCTTTGTGGATGCGACAGGCCTTCGGTCAGTCCACTCTGTAATGGTCCTTTTTCGGCTGATTTTCGGTTGGTTCTTTTGCAATTGCGTTCATCGAATTGTATTTTTCTTCCCTTGTGCGTAAGATCATAGGATCAAATGTTAATTGTAAGGTTGCTTTGACTTGTGACTCTGCGATAAATTCCGACGTCCAATTGATGAGGAACGGGAAGAAACCGTGTTGTGGTTACGGTTACAAAACAGTGACCTCCACTAATCTCCATTCGGCGGTCCAGTGATCAACGGCACTTGCTGAATTGTTCGTTTGTGGAGAAAGTAAACTAAACTTCTCTCTATGTTTCATCCTTCTCTCATCACTTTCCTGCCACCCCATGGGTTGTTGCTACAGTAATTCGAGGGTCCGCCCTGTTCCATCTGCCTTAGCTGCAGTAAATCCCTCCCTAATGGTTAGGGTTATTATGGCCCGGACCCATTGGGACGCTGCGTCCAATTTGCTGCCGCTGCCCGGAGCAGGCGTCGGGCAGAAATCCTCTGATTGATTAGCAGAGATACAGCATACGGAGTACACAGCATGAAGTACGGAGTACTAATGGTTTCTAGCATCATTCTTGCGTCTCGCCTCCATCTCTAATGCTAGATGGTTGGCGTTTCGCTGCCCATTCAGGGAAAATTCCAATATTGGTTGGCTGTAATCGTTTGCGTTGGTCTGGTATCGACCATTAGCCTGACTTTTCTATCCCAGTCCTTTTTGGCCGCCCTGGTAGTTTTCACCATGACGCGTCGGTTAGCCTCCAGTCTAAATGGAGGGTCTGTGGAGTAAAAGCAGACGGGCAGAAAGACCCCATAACGAGAAAAAAAGAAAAGAAAAAAAAAAAAAAAAAGAACCAAAAAAAAGCCAATTCCAACCGATCAGTGGCACCACCCCCACTCATACTACAGATTGTATGGAGTACTCAATCTTCTATTCTGAGCATGGTGCTTCTCTTTCTGGGTCATCTACTCACCAGGCCCGCCGCCACTGCTTGCTACTGCAAGCTTCTCATGCAGATGACAGTCTTCCGGTTTTCTCCCTGCCCCAGTGATGCTTGCCGGAAATACGCCCACTTTCTATGTCTGTCCACAGTGTTATGGGACCCGTGAGACGTGGCCCAATAAGAGATTATGCCGTTGGGCAGTTCGTCAATGATGTCCCCAACCCCCATGCCCGAACTGCAGCTTGAAATTGTCCCGTCCAACTGGGTCGTGGATGAAGTTCGATACGTCGCCTCGCTTGGCTCTCGGAGAGGATTGTTTGCGGACTGGCGCACATTTGCTGCTTGTACTTTTTCGCCTTCAAGCCAATACGTCAGGGTCTGCCCGAACCTGACCTTTCACATTCTCTATCGGTTCATACTCCATTCTGATCCGTCGCCCCCCTGTTCTTTTCTTTTCTTATTCCCTTTGCCCCTGGCCCTGTCTAGACCCCAACAGACGGGTGATCAAAGCTCCCTCGATTGATCTATATCTAGTGCCCAGTTCCCACTCTAATTGAGGTCATACAGATTTGTACAACACCACTGATCCGATGCTATGGCCAAGAAAGGAGGAAAGAACAAGAAGAAGAATAACAACAACAACAACAACAATAACAATAAGCAACGACTACCAGTAAACGACAATCAACTATCAAACCCAGAGAACAGCCCTACTATCGAGCCCGCCCCGGACACGGCGGTTGAATCTGCAGAAAATGGGGAAACCGATCCAGTATGCACAACTTCCCAAATTTGAGTACCAGACTTTCGAGCGTCAATATCAGACCTTCGACCGTCAGACTTTTCAGTTTTCATTTTATCCTGTCGCTTCTACATCAACAGACGATCTGACACCTGACAATGTTCAGGGCAACAACCCCGCTGAAGCAGGCAATGTTCCAGAAGAAGGATCAAGTAGTTCCCCGGCTGACACTGCATCATCCCCTGAGGCTGCAGGTAAGCTCATACATAAACTTTCCCTTTATCCACTATCTTGTGTGGTCCATAATTATGGACGCCTGCCCTTATCTTGATCACTTTGTTGCTAGCAATGGCCACTGTCTTATTGTGGTTTCCTTACTAAACATCTGTAGGTTCTTCTGAAGCGACAACGCCGTCCGCCGGTCCCGTAGAAACCCCCGGCGAGGCTGCTGCTGAGCCAGTCGAAGAAAAAGGAGAGCCGGGTGCAGAAACCAACGACGCAACCCAAACGCCCGAGGATGAGAGCGCCTCAGACGACAAGAAAGACGAGCCGCCAGCTGAGGACTCGGCTCAGCATGCAGAAGCGGAGCAAGATGCTACAGAGGCTTTGAATCCAAGCGCACCGGAGCAGGATTCTCAAGAGCCGAAGAATGGTACGCTTCAGACAATGCCTGTGCATACAGTCAGCTGACCTTACTTCTAGATACTGATATCTCAGAAGACGGTCCTTCTGCTGACTCAGATACACCCACACCCGAAAATGAAGAAGTTGCGGAACAAGTATGTGAAGATGCTAAGGCAGAAGAAGAATCAGCAGGCAAAGAGAGTGACCTTGACAAGGGCTCTAAAGAGACCGAGCCAGTACCGGCTCTTCCTGAAGAGGAAACAAATGGCCCACCTACAGATGCTGGAGCTACTCCGCAGCCTGCAGATGAGCCCGCAGATCCCGATGAGACAGGCAACACTTCGTCCGATGGTCCAGCGACAGATTCAAGTACCAAAGATCATCCACCTGACCCTGCTCCTGAAACCGAAACATCAACCGATAAGGCGTCAACAGATGAGCCGACAGCTACAGAGACTCAAGAGGAAAGTACAGCTTCCGCCAACCCTGGTATTGACACCGAACCAAACCTAGCAGAGTCTACGGATACAGTAGAGTCGGGCTCTGGAGAAACGGTGGTTGATGAAGTTGCCGCGGACGGGGAGAGTAAAGAGAGTCCCCCAGCAGAACCTGTGGAAGACGTACCCGCTGTCGAAGAGCCTGCGCCTGTGGATACCAATGAAGGCGCTGTCTCAGGCAAAGGCAAGAAGGGAAAGAAGAACAAGAAGAAGAAGAAGAAGGGCGCTGCAGCCGTGGAAGACCCTCCCTCCACACCTCCGCCTCAGGAATCAGAACCGGAACCGGTCGAGAATCCTGTTGCCGCCGAAGCAGAAGTCGAACCTGAGGTCAAAGAAACAGAAACAGAAGCGGCAACAAGTACATCAAGCGAGGCAAGCGACAACACAGAAGACGCTGCTGAAACGGGTCCCTCTCCCAATGAAGACCAAGCTGATTCTGGAGCCGATGCTGATACGGACGATAAGAACCCTGAACCTGCGGCAGAGGGGCCCACTACTGAAGAACCCGTTCCTAGTGATCCTTCTGTGAATAAACCTAGCGATGGATCTGATGCCCCGGAAGATGCCGAGCATGTCACAGATGACTCTGAAGAACCGCCAGCCGAGTCATCTCCAGAAAAGGGAGCTCCTGAAACAGAAGAATCCCCGGAGGCAATACCACAGGAACTGCCAAAAGCGGAGCTACCGGAGGATACTGCACCTGAGGTGGATGAGGGTAATGCTGGTGAAGCGGCTCCAGAGATCTCTGCAACTGACGAAAAGCCTTCTGAAGAAGAAAGCCCGGTTGAAGAGCTGGCCAACACGGAACCTGCTGAACAAGCACTGGCTGATGAGGGCGTAGACGAGGCAACAGCAGAGCCCACGGCTGAGGAAACTCCTGCAGAAGTTCCAGTCAATATCGAAGAAGCAGCAAGCGACGAACATACTTCTGACGCAGAAGGTTCCGGAGAAGCACAAGTTGAAACCCCAGCTACTACACCAGAGCCACAGGAAGATCTAGTGGAAGAAGACAAGGCAGTAGAGGAGGCCTCGGAGGAGCCCTCCCCAGCTAATGACGCTCCTGTGGAGAAGTCCGACGATCAGAAGGCTTTGTTGGGGGAAGTGGATGCCTCCAAGGAAATTCCTACTACAGATTCGCCGGAAGAAACAATCTCGGAAGAGCTGGTCACTGTGGAGGAGCCTCAGGCCGATGATCCTTCTCCTGTCACTGAAACTGTTGCAGCAGAGCCTGCTCCAACGGAAGAGCCTCATGTTACCGAAGAAGCTCCTGTCACCGAGGAACCTGCTGCTGCTGAAGACGTCCTTGTCGAGGAAGCGCCTGCTGCCAAGGAATTGCCTGTCACCGACGAGGCTCCTGCTGCCAAAGAAACTCCAACTACTGAACCCGCTGTTACTGAAGAGGCTCCTATTGAAGAAGCCCCTGTCGAAGAAACGCCTCTCGCAGAAGAAGTCCCTACTGTCGAGGAAGCTTCCGAGCCATCCACTATTGAAGAAGCTCCCGTGACTGAACCTGCTGCCATTGAAGAGGTTCACGTTGAAGAAGCCCTTGTCGAAGAATCACCTGTTGCTGATGAGCAACTTGCGACTAAGGAAGTGCCTTCTGAAGAAACCCCTGTTGCTGAAGAACCTCCCGTGGTTGAGGATGAGCCTGTTGAGGAAGTATCTACTCCTAAAACAGAACCTGTTATCGAAGAAACTCCTGCTGTTGAGGAGCCTGCTGTTGTTGAAGAAATCTCTGCTGAAGAAGTACCTGTTGAAGAAGCCCCAGTTCCTGAGGAACCTGCTGCTGTCGAAGTTCCTGTTGCAGAAGCTCCAGCTCCTGAAACCCCAGTTCTTGAGGAGCCTGCTGTTGTTGAGGAAGTACCTGTCGAAGAAGCTCCTGCTCCCGAAGCTTCGATCCCTGAGGAGCCTGCTGCCGTTGAGGAAGTTCTGGTTGAGGAAACGCCTGCTCTGGAAGCTCCAGTTCCTGGGGGGTCTGTTGCTGCTGAAGAAGTCGCTGTTGAAGAAGTGCCCGCGTCATCTGTATCGAGAGGAGCCCCCGTTGATGAAGTCTCAGAGGTTGAAGAGGTCCCGGTAGAAGAGGCTCCCGCTGAAGAAACCCCTGCCACTGTAGAGCCTCCTGTTGCCGATGAAGTCCCTCCCGTCGAGGCTCCTATCCAACCCGCTCCGGAAAACACTCCAGCTGAAGAACCTGAGCCGGCTGAGGAACCCGCAGCGGACCCTCCAGTCGTTGAGTCTGCACCAGCTGATCCTATTATCATTGAACGCGCCCCCGTCAGCGATGAGACACCTCCTGAAGATTCTGTTACCGATGAACCAACCGTCGGAGAGGCACCTGCAGAAGAGCCAGTACTTGAAGATCCAGCTGCTGAAAGAGAGTTGTCCGAAGAGGCGACAGATCCTACAAGCGAATACCCAGATACCGTTGACTCACTCAAAGATGACCCCTCGACTACAACCGAAGCCGCCGCTGGAATTGCAGCTGGAGCTGCCGCCGGAGCTGCCGCCGCCGGTTTGGCTCATGGCCACAGAAAGAAAAAGCGACGAACAGCCGACATGGACCGTGAGCGTGGTCATCCCAAGAGCTCATCTGACGAATATCCGCCTCGGCTGGAACGACAGAAGAGTACTAAACGCGGCGGTATCTTTACAAACCGGTGGGCAGAAGCCTTGGATGAGGCGAAGCGGCAGCATGAGAAGAAGGTCAGACATGAAGAGAGACGGAAAGAGAAGACGGTTGTAGTGGAAAGGGAGCCACGTCGTTCATCAGGACGCGAAAAGGAGCACGAGCGCGTGAGACGGTCCGAACGTACTGAGCGCTCTACAAGAGAAAAAGAACCTGTGCCTGTCAAGACGAGCACAAAGGCTTCAGAGCACTCTAGCGGCAGGGATCGCGAGCGAAGCGGAAGCTCCTCATCAAGACACGCGCAGCCCTCAGCGCCACAGCCCAGGGCTTTCCTGAAGTACATGACATCAGGGGAGTCAGACACCAAACCCCTACTGAAAATAAGCGGGGACAAAGCTGCCGCAAATATCTATGAGCCTCATAGGAGATCTTCCACGAGCCGTTCCCATGGCCACCGTCACTCTCACGAAGGACGAGGCACCACTGAACGCTCCAGCGGATCTCATCAGACCGAAGAAGAAGATCGAGCTCGACGTGAAGCTCGCAGAGCTCGCAGAAAAGCTGAAGAAGAAGAGCAGGCAACGCCGAAGGAAGAACCTGAGCAACGCCATCACCGTCATAGCGGAGAAGGACATCATCGTCACCATCGGCACAAACGTGCTCCGTCTCCTCCAAGGAGCGGAAGTTCCAAGCTAAAAGGCTTTTTTAAGTCAGCTATTGCTGCACATTAAAAACCCATATTCTATGTTTTTTCTTTTGCTTTTTCCCCTTCCTTCCCCCTACAATATTACAAAATCATTCTCATTTCAATGTGGTCTTTTGTCTCTTCTCATGTTATGTTGTTTCTCCTTCACCATTTATTTCATGTAAAGCCCTTTTCTTGTCTTTTCCCTTTATGTTTTATCTTTGAACCATAGCATTGCGTTCAGGTAAAGGAAGCATAGCAAAGGTGTTATCTTTTCTGTTATGTACTTACCTGTCTGAATACTTTTCTTTCATGTTGATGATTACTTATTTTATACGTTTTATATTGAAAAATATGTACATCAATGCTATCCTTCTGTTAATAAATATTGCTTATTACACCAGCTTGAGCTCAGTGGATACCCTTCGTTGGTTTGAAGGCTCCAAGATTGGGCATCCCCCAGGTATTGCACATTTCCTGTCCAACACTGGCACTCGAGGTCGAGGACTGGTAGATACAGGTATACTCAACGACAGATTATTCCTCCCCCCCCCCCCACAGGTTCCCCGAACACCGAGCCTGACATTCTTGTACATAACAACTCCGTTAGGTCCTTCACTTCCGTCAAAGCCCCTGAATAGCACCTTCATATAGACCACTCCAGGAGCACTTCCGATACCAGACCGCCACAGCGAAGATCTACGGAAAAATATTTCCCGTACAATCTCAACCATTTCGTTAAGACCAATCACGTAGGCACCTGCCAGTGCTGTGATTGCTTTGACTGTTGTTGTCGAAGGGCAGGCTAGATGTTTTAGTTGCCTGGCGGTTTGTATTATCAAATG